TTTGTTTGTAAGCTTAAAATAGATTCTTATTAATCATATATTATTAAAAATGCATTTCTAGATAAAATACAGAACTGGGAATGGTATTTGTGGTTTAGCCTAGTGACAAGTAAATTCAACTTACGTCGTTTTTTGACTTAAGTTGCTTCTCCTGGAACCAATTACTGACGTAAGGCGAGGCATACCTGTATTATACCAAGAATTAGCAAAAAAAATACTCAAATATTTTAATGAAAACAAACATTTTCTTCCATTTTCAAACAGACATCTTCAGGTTATAAAGATTGAATACAGTTGCTGGTTTTTGGTATAATAGTGTGTTTATTTGTACATAAAGCCAGTTTTCTAGTAATCACTATTTAATTCAACTTGATGATTAGAAGATTGTCAATTTATTTATAGAAAGTTGGACCAAAAATGCTGGATCATGAAGGCAAAGAGGTTCCAGGAAATAAAGGATATAAGTATGTATACTTACATTAAAATTAAAAAATTGATTTTAATATGTAAAATAGCTATTATTTAAAACATTCTAAAAAATTTTAATTTTTTAAAATTATTTCAATTAAATTCTTTATTAATTAATTAAAAGTAATAATACATTGAATTAAAATTTGACTGAATGTAAAGTATTCATCAACTACTTTAATAATATTTTTATATATATTTTAAATCTTCTGAAACCGTGTTGTCTTATTTCTTTGATTCACTAACACAAAGATTTCAGAAGATTTAAAACGAATTATTACATTGAAACAGCGAATTTCATCAAAGCAAAGATCACCAAAAGAGGCCAAAAGATCAAAGGAATCCATCAAGAAAAGTTACCAAGAACAACTCTCACATTGACTGAGGAGGGGCAGTGCCCGAAACGTGTTATTGTACTCATAACCGTATCAACTGAATAAAGATGGAATATTGCCAAGTGTTGAAATAGAAACACATTTTGTGTTAGTGAATCAAAAAAATCACCAAAAAAATATATTTTTTATTTGAATATAATTTTTATGTTTACCAAGAAGAAAATTAATTTTATGTCTTAAACCAGTGTTTTTCAACCTGTGGGTCGCGACCCCCCTGGGGGTCGCGAAGCCTTACACGGGGGGTCGCGGGTAGAAGAAAAAGACAAGTGTTTGTAGGTCCTACACTACATTAAAAAAACTACAATTTCAGCGAGAATTACGGCCCACCCCAGAAAATGATAGCGAAAAAAGTGTTGAGCTGATTTGCAAAAAGAAATAAAAAGTAGAAAAGTAGAAGCTGAAATTTGAGATCCTAAAAAAAAAGTCAACAGTTCACTGTGCCTAATGTTATAATTAAAGGAAGTTTCATACTTCATGTGTGTTAAATTATTGTCGATTCTTCTGAAATTTTCATTTTAATCAAGAATAATTTGTCTCAACAGAAAGAAAATTAAATACATAGTTTTTAAAATCACTGATATAGTTTTAATATGGACCTAGGGGGTCGCCAGAATTTTTTAACTTGTAAAGGGGTCGCGTATTCAAGAAGGTTGAAAAACACTGTCTTAAACAATATGATTAATTAAGTCCTGTGAAGTCAAACTTAGTTTTCTTTGTTCAATTTTTGCACTTTCTTCTTCCAAAAATACATTTTTATTATCAGTTGTACCCTGTTGAATAATAAATACATATTATACATCCCGACAATATAAAGTGATTAAAAGTCTCATCAGACTTGTGTTGCTTAATTCTTTAAACACAAAATTAGCTTAATCCGTTCAAGATGAAATTAGCTGATAGAAAAATTGTTTGATTGGTTTTCCTATATAAGTTCTTCTTGTAACTTCAAGGGTAAAAACAATTTAGTCTCCATGAACATAGAAAGAAATTTCAGAGCTTAGAATTAATAGTATTTGTCAATTTTTTGCATTCTATACCTGTACATACAAACTTTAAAGAATTTGAAAATAATTTTAATATGTATAAACTTTGTAGATTCTTTTTACTTAACATTTTTAAAAAAATCTGAGTAATAATGATTAATATATTTTTTCAAGAAATAACTGCATGAATAGTTATGGAGTTCTTCAGCAAATGTTTTATATTATTATTATATTGTTATAATAATAATGTTATTTTTTCTGAATTTCTTATGTGACCTGGATGTAAAATCCAACTGTTGACATCAGTGTGACCGGAGGGTTGGCACCTCTTTGTTGCCCTTGTCAGGATGACACCAGTGTGCCCTGTTCTACAGACACAGAAGCTGCAGTGGCTGTTTATTTTTGTTGAAACTGAATAATGCAGATGGTCACATGTGTGTCAGCTCATGGAGAAGGCAGATGAGACAGCATTATGGAAGAAGAGCACTCTGAGACAAGTTAACAAATACCTGTTTATTATATGTTATATGATCTACATACTGTCAGTAGTGAGACAGTTAGCTATTAGATACTAGCGACACTGAAGCATTTCTGAGAGAGGGAGAGTTTACATTAGATTATCCGCATTGTCATAAAAACCTGGAATTAGAAAAGAGCAGTTTGTAGATGAGTTGATCATTCTGATCATTAATACTTGAGAGTTTAAGCTAGGTTCACTAGGACAGTTCAAAGATAGGCATGGAATTTTCTATTCAGTACTGGAACAGGAATTTTCTCAATTTGGAGCCTAGGAAATGGTTTTGGTAGGAGTCAATGATATTTTGTTCAGAGGAGATGATATCCCTCTCTCTATTGGAGGAGACGGTGATTCATTATCAGCAGAGATGGAGCGAACTAATACTGTAATAAATATAATATATAATATAACTATAATAGTCAATCAATTAATGTGATGCAAGCATCATATTAATTGATTGACAAAACAAAAATCACATATATCATAAACATATCCATTCCAACTGCTCATAACATACAAAATACATACATGAGGAAAAGGTAAATATTCAGAACTCCCCACAAAATAAAGTGCTTTTGGAGGATGGATAAGGTACTGTACTTATCATGCTTAGTAATTTTTTCTTGCATAGGTGTCATACTATATAAACTATGCATAAGTCTGAAAATATTAGATCTTAACAGCACATATGTCACATTACAGAAAACACATAATAGATATTTCAATAGCTGTACCTTGATCTAGGTCTTAAATATAGTAGACACCAGTATCAACTGAGTATTGGACTTAAATTACCAAAACAATAATGATAGTAATAATAATAATAATTTGAAGTTGTACATTAAACATTAAATAACTGACAATAACAAACCTTTGTAAATCATCTCCTTATTTCCACTAAAAGGATGGTTTACTAAGATCAGTTATTGTCTTTTGTGAAATTATTTGAATGTTAGAAATTGGGATAAAAAGAAACTTTGATCAGCATTTAACTGATATTAAAAAAGCTCTATAAATAATAACCCTATAAAAACCTGACTTATTAAAGATAGCATCATTCAGGTATAAGTAAATATTTTAATTTTATTTATTATTTTATCACAGTAATAATTAATAACCTAAATAATTTTATAAGTGGTGAAACTGACTAGTTCAAATATACTCTAAATAAAAATGAAAAAATTACTTTTATGGGTAATCAAGAGTGAAAGAAACTATAAATACTTTTTATTTGTTCTTCACAAATAAAAGTTTTCTCACAAATGTAATTCAATATTGAATCTTATATGTTAGATATCACTTAAATTTTGACTATAGTAATGGGAAAAGGTAAATTAGTTTCAGAAGCATATTTGTAATGTCTTCATAAAGTTATAAGTTGTTTTGAACTTAAAAATAAATAATTGTTTTAAGATATGAAGTTAAAAACAAAACATTGATACAGGATGTATTTTCATTCATACTTAAGTTAATTTCTTAAAGGATTATTTATAATGACTTTTTTTAATTGTTAATTTAAATCAGGTAATTTTATGAATGGTCTTTTAATAAATAAACAACATACATATATATGAAGTCACTTTAATCGAAAAACTTTTTGGTTGACAGTCTCACAGCACTTCTGGTTAGAAAATTAAGACTTTATTGCACAAATTTAATGGGTGTTATACAATTGCATTTCAGGTTGTTGTAAATTTACAACCACTCCTCAGTGATGTTTCATAGAGAAATAACATAAAGTTTTCCACTTTCACATCTTTGTTTATATATATATATATACATATACATATGTTGCATTTGTGAAAACTTGAATATTGTACTTTGTGAAATATCATTGTGTGAATATATATGTATATATGTATGTATATATATACACTTATCACACAATGATATTTTCACAAAGTACAATATTTGAGTTTTCACAAATGCAACATATGTATATATATACAGTAGAGCATCGATTATCCGACCCCCGATTAACCGTCACCTCAGTTAACCGACCACGTTCTAGTCGGCAAATTCAAATGCCCGCTAGTGATGTGGCACTACAACATTTGTCTATGTCTTGGCTACTTTAATATTATTTTTACATGTTTTAGCTGGCAACACTGGCTTGACCATAAAGGGAGCCAGTATTTAAACGAGGTTTAATTTTCTAATTTTTAATGATACAATAGCAACGATTATTATTTTAAAAAATTTTTGTTAGTCGATGAAAATTCAATGCAAAGTAGGTTAATAGTGATATACTAATATACTAATTACATGGGATATAATAATATACTACACTAATAATGGATTTTTTCATACTTTTCGGTTATCTGACTTTTCAATTATCCGACCAATCCCAGTCCCCAATTGAGTCGGATAATTGATGCTCTACTGTATANTTATTTCATTTAAATTAAAAAAAATGAAATAAGTAAATAGAAATAATAAAATAACTAAATTCAAACTCAACTGAGATGATTTGAGATGCTAGTCATAGTCATTAGCAGTGAGAAGATTTAAGAAATCAATGTTTCATCATTAGTCTCATGACTAATAAAAATTGTAATTAACTTCAATAACCTCAATAGAAACATCTTCAATTATATACATAAAAGTATAAATAGTTACACTAATCTTAGAAACTTCATCCATAATACAAACAAAATTTATATATGCGTGAGCCCACGGATTTTTACGGGACTCTTAAAAAAATCCAAATTTTATTTCAAGTGTAAAGATCTTCGGAAAAAACCCAAAGAATTTGAACTAGATCAGATGCCACCGATTGTAATAGCAATTAGATGTGAAAGTTGACACTTAGGTGTGAAGAATGCACTGTCATTGTCAACAAAAATCAATCACATGTCAGTTTTCCCACGTGAATGATATAAAAGCTCGAATCCCCGGAAGCTCAAGGCAATCTCTCGGAAGTTATACTTGTAACTGTGTGTTTTGTCTTCACACGCTGGATCGACAGGACATACGACAGAACTTCTATATATTTTTTAATGAAAAATAATAACATTTTATAAACTAGCTCCACCACCCCCAAGGAAAACTCGAGCAGAATTAATGAAAGATGTTGATTATTCTTATTATGGAAGAAGAGATGATGATGATGGTATTCTCATACCATTGGAATATGAAGAAGAAAAGAAAGCAATTGCTGAAGCTGTTGAAGAATGGAAAAAACAAAAAAAGAACAAATTAGAAAATGATGTTAATGTTGAAAAACAGTTAGAAGATATTTATATAGTGGAACCAGAAGCAATGGTAACTTTTAAAGTATCTTAAAATATAAAATATTCATATTGTATTTTCTAGAGTATTTAACAGTTAGTTATGTAGCTTGTTACACACACACANTCATTGTCAACAAAAATCAATCACATGTCAGTTTTCCCACGTGAATGATATAAAAGCTCGAATCCCCGGAAGCTCAAGGCAATCTCTCGGAAGTTATACTTGTAACTGTGTGTTTTGTCTTCACACGCTGGATCGACAGGACATACGACAGAACTTCTATTGCCATTAAGGAACATATTCATCAAACGCATGATGGTTATATCCGCATTGAGGTATTTGCATTGTTTTAGAGCTTGAGAACTCTCTCTCTCTCAGACTAGCCATTAAAGCTATTAGTGCGTCCCTTTGGGGTATAATGAACTTATGTTATCCGCATTTATTCTTAGTTGTAGCTAACCGCATTTAACCTATATATTGTTATCGCCTTACGTATCCTAGCTTAGCCATTCAATAAATGTTTGTTATTTTGTTGAACCTGTTTCCTGTCATTTAAGGACACCTGCCAGCTTCCTCACCCCCTCCCCACTCGATTTGCCTTCCTAGCCATCCAACAGACTCCAAGATCGGGTTTTATCAACCTGTTGCAGAGTAAGTGGTCAATTGGGACATCTATTCAAATAAAATAAAAATAATAAAAATTAGCTAAGTAAAGGAAAACAAAATAAGAAACCTTTTAAACTAGTATGAATTCAATAAAATGTTATTGAGTATAAATTCTAAATAATGATACTTGATTAAAGTAAAAAACTACTCTGCAATCAAGTATCAATAGCAATAACAATTTGTTGTTTTCTACTCAATACTTCTGGCGAGTATTTGAATAATGAATATGGGTGTCTTTGTACAACACAGTACTTCTACATCATGGTTTCTCTCTAACACAGTTTTGGAAATCCTCTGTACAAAATTTCACAATTTTTAAGTATAAACTTTGTTATTTGATATTTTTTTTATTTGAGTAAGCACACATGTTGTCTCAAATTTCCCCAAGGATTTTAGAATATTGAAATTTTCAAGTTATTTTGTGCTTATTGTCAGGTTTACTTTAAATGAAAACTGCAATTTTTTTCTTCCTTGTCTCAACTTTCCTATCAATCAAGTGTCATCGTCATTGCTTTCAAACTTTAGCCCTGAAGACTGTCACTGAGTTTTCTTTTTATAGATTAACCTTTGTATTTAGTAAAATTTATTTAAACATTTTTAGGTAAGTGTTGTTAAACATTTTTTTAACCATAGATATTACCTATGAATGATTATTTCATTTATAAAAATGACAAATGAAATATAGTGGTATCTCAGTACTTGAACAATTTGGTATTCAAACACAAATTCTGGAAAAAGTAGCTTGGTACTTGAATGAACAAACATGACCCACTAGAACAAATTTTTGATTAATAACATATTTTTATGATAAAAATAAACAATATGAAAATATTGCTGATACTTTTGATCAAGATCAACAAAAAAGCTGAGATGACCAACAATACTTTTTAAAAAGAAAATGCCCTCGTTTCACTAAAATTAATATTAACATGTAATACAGTACTTTTAATTGTGATTGTTAATCAATTACTGATTGCTTTAATAAACATAAAAGAATACTATACTTCTGCAACATAACTCTATGTTTTGTATTAGTCTTTTGTTTTGTATAGCACAGATTCCCATAACATTGCACTTTTTTGGAATGTAACTGCTGTGTTATATGAGGGATATCTGTACTCAGTTATAAAATATTGAACACATGAATACTATCTGTTGATTTTTCAAAAAGTTTGCACATCATTAATTTTTGTTCAATTTCAGGAATATTAACTTTCAAATTTTAATTTCATATTATTTATAATTGAAGTTAAAAGATGATTAATTATGTATTTTTAGAGTGATGAAGATGATGACCAGTCTCTAAGTGAAATTGAATCTCAGTCTCGTTTCATTGCTCATGTTCCTATCCCATCACAGAAAGAGGTAAAATTATTAATAATAATAATTTTAATAGTATATTTCTTAGTTTGTTGAAAGTTTTTAATACATAGGACTTTGATCAGAATTCAAGTTAGTTCAGTTGCTATATTTAAAAAAATAATTTGAAATGGTTGTTATAATAACCATTTCAAATTGATCTTTAAATCTATCCTTTTTGAATTCAAAGTCTATGATTTGATACAGAATTTGAAAGTGAAATGAAGTTCAGTTTTTATTCTTCACAAATGTGTATGAAACTAAGTTCATAATTTATTAATTACATTCACTTAATATAACCCAACATACTATTAATATCAGGATATAACTTCTCATGGTCTTGTGTAATGGAATTTTTTGACTACAGATTTAATCATTTTGATCTAAAATTTATAACTTTGATATAAAAATTATTTGCTTAAAATTATATTAATTTTAAATTTTATTATAAAATAATGTGAGATGTTATAGTTACTGTCAGTTTTCTATTGATATTTTATTTTTCAAATTTTTATTTAATATTTTGTTCTCAGCAAAATTTTGCTGGGGATAACAATACTAATTATTAATTTAAAGTATTCTATATATATATTTAAAACTTACTGGTTATAGGACAAGGTTTTTATTCATTTTTCACTGCTTCAAAAACTTAGGTTGTCCTATATGCATGAGCAAAGGATTCTTAGTATTTTTGCAATAATTTTTGTGAATCATGTACAGTATTCGCATTTTTGACCAGATGTTTAAAAACAAATGTATTTTGTCTGGGTCATTTGAATCGTTCTTGTGTATTGTCAGGAGTAAAGATGAATAGCAATATGAAAAGCAAAGCTTTTGAACTGAATTCCAAATTTAAATTTCAAAGTCATACTGGAGCCTGATATAAGTTTTAATCCAGTCCACCATGAAAAAATGATTATTTGGAAATTAGAATTCAGAGAAACTCATAAGTATAATCATCAGAGAGTGGATTCAACTGTTAAGAATTGGCAAAAAAGGTTCCCAATTGTCCAGCTTTATATCAACAAATTATGTTGTTGATTTTACAAGAGTTTTCCTTAAAGTTTAAAATGCCAGTAATTTTACAGAACAATTTGTGCATTTACATGCATTTGATATTTTATTTGTGATTAATTAAACAAAATAAAATTAAAATTGTATTAATAAATCTAATTTTCTTTTATTTTGATCTTTAAAGTCTCACCTCGTCCTAATATGCGAGGTCATCTTATACGCGAGTAAATATGGTATGTCCAGCTTTATATCAACAAATTATGTTGTTGATTTTACAAGAGTTTTCCTTAAAGTTTAAAATGCCAGTAATTTTACAGAACAATTTGTGCATTTACATGCATTTGATATTTTATTTGTGATTAATTAAACAAAATAAAATTAAAATTGTATTAATAAATCTAATTTTCTTTTATTTTGATCTTTAAAGTCTCACCTCGTCCTAATATGCGAGGTCATCTTATACGCGAGTAAATATGGTATATTTAAATATTTTAATATGCTTACGTATAACTTAATTTATATTTAAATTTCAGATTGAGGCAGCACTTGTTTTAAGGAAAAAGACAGAATTGCTCCAGAAATATACTAGTGAAACATTACAAGAAGAAGCTGAAGAAGTGAAACAGTTACTTGGTATTTGATAGATATATTAGCATACAAAACATTATGAATAATTTTTAAAATGCATTGTAAATATACCTCATCAAGATAACATTGACCAAGACATTTTATATGAAATACATAATGAAAGCTGAAACTGATTCATTTTTATTAATGGAAAAAATATATTTTAAAATTTAAGAAGAAATAAAAAATTTAAAATGTGTCAAATGGTATTTTTTCATAATTTATTTTCTTATTTTCAAAATACAATTAATTAAAATTAAAATAATATAATGTTTTAGTATTTTATTTATCTCTGAAACTGAGTATCATGATAAAAATCCTTGATGAGTAATTTCTGAAATTCTCAGAAACCTGGGAAATTGCATAATTTTTCTGAGAATTCTCATGATGAAGGAATCTTCATACAGATAGTCAAGTTACAAATACCTGTTGTTATTTTTGGCAGTCAGATCTGGAGTTGAGTTCAAGAATGTGCTGTTAAAAGATATAATGACATTTAAATGTATTTACAAAACATATACCAATAATAAAATAAACAATGTGGATTAACAACAAGAGCAGAAGTTCATTATTTACTATTTTAAGATGGTGGAAGAAATTTAGCTCATTCAATATCAAGGATAAACATATAAGTAAAAAATTAAAACTTGGCTGATGGTATTTACATTTTTTAAAATATTACAAAAACAAGGATTTTTATATATTTGTGATATTTTTATATTTTTTAAAATGTAAATACTGTCAGCCAAGTTTTAATTTTTTACTTAAATGTATTATATCAGTAAAAACTACTAGAGGATGCCATTTCTAATTTGCATTTTAGTGTAGAGACAGACCCTCCAATAAAAGATTGTCTCCGTATATGAAAATTGTTTTGGACTATCACTGATGTGTTGAAACAATAGAAGAGGAAAACAAAACAAGCATATTTTTATATTTTTTAGGATAAACATAGATTCAGAATAAGTCAATTATCCCGTCTATCCATTGATATTGTTATAGTTTTTAAACTCATTAGTTGTAATTGATTATCAAAAGGAGTAATTTTTAATTTAATTACAAGTACTGTACATAAAATGTACTATGAGAACATATACCATTCTAGTGGATACTCACATTCTGTTAAAACTTTTTGTAGTGGCAGTTTTAATTCATTGTAGGAGATATTAATCAAGTCACATCATCTAGAATAATTATATATTTACGTGATATTATACTTTACATAAAAGTGGACTAAATTATAATACTTTCTTATTGTGATAAACATCAATTACACTATTTTTGAATTTTTCAACATGTTTATAAACGACATAATCAAATTATTAGATATATGTTAAGTCAGTGTATTTTATGAATCCAATATTTCATTAAAATAGATATGTAATATGTATACAATTTTTTAATGTAAAGTAAATTTTATTGTAAGTTTACAATGAAATATTCTAAACATATCTGATAGTAATAGACTACAGAATATATTCTCTATTTAAAGTTGTTATGATTCTGCATATTATGAACTGATTCAAAAATATATATAAAATTTCTTTAACATTTATATCATAGTCTTTTCATGTTTATGACTACTTTTATGTTTACTCAGCAAGTTCAAAAATTTTTAATCTGTAATTTTAATCTGTAAATTTTTATTGGCTGTAGTCAACAGAAGTGATAACATTTCCACATTCTTGGTACAAGACACTAGTTACTTTATCTGTCCAATACATTATGATAGCTTTTGTGAATTGCCGCTATGGCAAATTGTTAAACTGGTAGTAACAGTATTATATGCTAACAATATCATTAAAAATTACTTTTGAGTACTCTCACTTATAATGCCATAATGTCATAATTAAATTTTAAATGTAATAGTGTCATTGGCAATAAACATATTCTGTACAGGCATTTCAAAACTATATATCGAAATGTAAAGGCAGGTAGAGGAGATCTAAATAAGCAGATTTCATATAGGAATGTGGGTGCAGAAATGCAGTGAGAGGGCACTGTTGAGTTTGGCGGATGTAAGTGCTTTGCTGGCTAGAATTGTCATTCCCCACACAGATTTTGAGCAACATGCATCATTACACCTATGCAGAGCTTGCTGACATGCATTTCATGTATGAGGTTGTGTAAGGAAATGGAGCTGCTGCTCAAAGGATGTACATTTCCATGCACAACTCCTGATGAAGACGCTTGAATGTTCGATGATCTGGCAGATTTCTATTCAGAAATCGCTCCATGTATTGTACATCCTTTGAGCAGCAGATACCATTTCCTTGACCAGCCCCATACATGAAATGCATGTCAGCAAGCTCTGCATTGTTGTAACAATGCATTTTGCTCAAAATCCATGCAGGGAATGACAATTCAAACCAGCAAAGTGCTTTTATCTGCCGAACTCAACAGTGCCCTCTCGCTGCATTTCCTCATCCACATTCCTATACGAAATCTGCTTATTTAGGTCCCTTCTACCTGCCTTTACATTTCTGACATATAGTTTTGAAACGCCCTGTATAATAACTGATAACAAATCCAATTTATATTTAAATATGAATAAATTTATCTCATTAATTAATCATTAGCATCCAAAATCGAAAACAAAATTTACTAATTATAGAGATGCTTGGTTTGAGATTATCATTTTATTTTAAAATTAATAATAAATTAAATAAATTAAAATTAACAATAAAAAATAAAAGTAATTCCACGTGAGATTGGAATACTCCTTCAAAATTATTTTTAATTCTTCGAACATGGTTGACTGCTTGCATGCATCTTTGTTTATAAATTGGTTTGAAGTGCAATATGACTAAACAGTGTCATTGTATAGTATTAGAGTACAGTACATATGTATATATGTATATGTACTAAAATATCTAACCCAAATACACATTTCATTAAAAAATAATGCAGCTTTTGCAGTTTGTTTATTTATGTAGTAAATAAACAAACTGCAATTATTAATAAAAAGGCTCTTTATAATAAAAAAGCTACATTATTATTAGCAATAATAATAATGCAGCTTTTTATTTATGTAGCAAACTTAAGATATGGTACAGTACATAAAACTGTAAATACTACTAAACTAATTAGGAATTGCCAATTTACTAAATAAATTCTAAGCAGGATTAATAATGCATATCTCATGCTGTAGCTATAGCTTTTTTTCTCCAATAGTTCAATAGCTGAAAGATGAGCTTGAAGCTGTAGTCTAGTCAGGGAGGTCAAGGCAAATGCTTCATCATAAATTTTGTCCTCCTTATAAGCAGTAAGTAGGACAAAATTGTGTCTATTTTATGATATTCAAATATAAACATCTATTTTATCCCTTTGCTTCTCGAACTTCAAAACCTGGCTATCCCAATGTTTTTACATAATAGTTTGGACTACACATTAACTTGCGACATTTTCAATAAGATTGTGGGATCTTTTCTTCTTATAATCAAATTCATGTGACAACGAACATGGAGGAAGTTGATGTCAGTACAACTCTTCTAGACCAGGGATGAGCAACCCTCATCCCTTGTAAAATATGAATAAATATATATCAATTTCCCAGGTTAAGGAAGTGTGCAGCAAAAATTCAAATGTTATTTTCTACAACTTATGTATGTAAATAGTTTTTCCACGATAAATTTAGTAAAAATTAAAACAATAAACTGGCTAACAGACACATTGAAACTAATTTAAAGCTAGCAGTGCCTAATAGTTAACCAAATATTTCCGATATATTACATTTACATCAGTTCCAGAAGCTAAATAAGTATACCTATGCAAATTTATAATTATATATGAATAAATAATTGTGATTTACTGACATTTTTTTCCTCTTTTCTCTTGTATGCGGCCCACGTCAGTTCAAACGTTTTGAAATGTGGCCCTTACATAGAAAAAAGGTTGCCCATCCCCGTTCTAGACAATACATTTTGTATGCATATAGCTTTTTATTTCTTTATTTTTGACTCTGTCCTGTGGGTACTAAGAGAGCCTTTTTGCCATGTTCATAATGAGTTCTGCAAGCCAGATGTTCAGGGAATGAGTCCAATCTCAGAATGGACCACTCAAAAAATTTATGGGGTTTACACTGGATTTGATGCCTGATCCTGTAGAGCAGTATTTCTCAACCTGCATGGCATGAGAATGCCTCAGGTGTGTTGCAGAAATAGTAAATATTTTTTTAGAATTTTGAATGAGTTCTTTACAATTTCATTTATCTTTCATCTTTTTACAGCTGGGAGAAGGTATTCACTTAAATGCTGATTGTTGCAAAATTTTCAGCATTAGCATATACCTCACAAAAGTTGAGAACATCTATACATATGCCAGCATGCCAACTGTTTGGAGCTTCTAGAAATGATGCATCTTACCAGCTTAAAGACAAATACTAGCTCTTTACACATTGATTCAAATAGTTCTTTTTATTTTTATAGTATATTTGTAAGATTGTGAGTTTTTGTCTTGGTAACTTCTGTATTATCAAAAATTTTTTTTAAAATCAACTATGATGTATTTTAAATTTTAACATTTTTATTTTAAAAATTATGGGGTGTTGCAGGAATCTGATTAAATTCAAGATGTGTCACTAATCCAAAAAGGTTGAGAACCACTACTCTATAGCAGTAGTTTTTACCATCTCAGTCATATGGCTAGCATATGCATATGCTAGCCATATGACTGAGCCTATAGCCTACTTGCATATGGCTAGCATATGCAAATAGTATAACTAAAAAGTTATGGAATGCATTCTGGTTCCAATACATCATTGCATCTGTGATATTATATAGTGTTATTTTCAGCCTTGGAAACCATATTACACTCTCATTATTTATGGACTACAATTTGAAAAAATTGTAGACCTATAAATTCCTACTGTCGTTCGTCTATCTGTCCTTCCATAATCTCAAGAACTGAGTTAGATAGATGAAAGCCAAGACCAGATATGGAAAGATTAGGGGAGGAGACCCCGATTAACTATATACAAATTTCTGATGCAAACAAGAAGTCATGTTATTTCAATTCAAAAATTTTCCCCTGAAAGGAGTTAGATAGATGACTGGCATTATTCCATTGCTAATGGAAAAGTATGATGTACAGGGGCAAGACTACTAATTTAAGGTAGAGAGCATATATTTTAAATTAAATAAATTTAAAAAATGATTAAAAATTGCAGCCTGGCATTGTGACAATGTCACAATAAGTAATTGCTCAGTTTTTCATTTTGTTTATAAAACTACAATTTCTCAATTATATTTGGTTTACAATCAATTTGACATATGTTGGGTCTGGAATAGAAATACAGTGAAAACTGCTTAGGCGACCACCTGCATTTGACGGGCACCTGTCAAAACGAGCAAAAATTTCTGGCACGGAATAGTTTATACATAGTCTTCGTATAAGTATTAAACGACCATCCGTGTAACATGACCGCGGGCATCGATTTTTGGTCCGAAACAACATACAACACCTGTAATAAGCGACCACTTTCGCGAATGTATCTGGTCTAAACTATTGTAAGAACCCATCTCAACAACGTTTCCACCTCCTAATATAATGAATTAGTCTAAACTCTCGTTCGAACCCATCCCGGGCACTTCTCCCACCCTCGAAATTAGGTGCAGGTGTTAATAAATTAGTCTAGCAACAAAGGAAATTCATTTCAGTTTGTTGGAAAATGTCCGAAATGCAAAGTGCTGTCGTTAGAAGATCGTATTAAAGTTATCACAACAGCAATTAGCGGCGAAGTTTAACTGTGGGAAAACAAAATTTATTTTACCCTAGACCTACAGTATTTTCCTTGGGGGTGTAAAATATTGTACACGATACAATTAATCGGCTGATCTCATCGTTTGATAAAATCTATTTTTATTTATTTATTTTGAAGCTCATATACAGTACACGTGCGATAAATAGTTTCTGTATCAACCTACCTTATTTCCACGATATTTTTAGAAAAATAATATCCAAGTAATTTTCGCAGGCAAAATATTCAAAAAACAATAAACGCATTAATGCAAAAATCAGTTTTACAGGCAACCTTCCTTTTTCAATTCCGCAATGACAATCGCGGAATGTAATGAAATCGTATAATGAGAAAAAATAACAAAATCATTTTATTATTAATTAATAATTTTTCTTATTGTACTTAAGAAAATATTAAATATTAAAAAATACAGTATTTTTAAAGTTAAAATAAGATTAATGAATACCAAAACCAAAGTGATGTAGAGATACGACGCGCTTGTATATAGATGACATAATACTCGTAACTGTGGAGCAAACGAAAACAAGTTGAATTAATTAAGTCAGAAAAAAGAAAGTGTGCATTATAATCGAGAAAATGTGAGTACAGTACAGTATTGTATTAATCTTTAAAATATTGGCATTAAATCTCTTATAAAATCACGACAAACTCCTGTAAATCGAGTTATCCGATAAGAATAAAATACAATACCAATATAGTCCTATCGTTAAAAAAAATTCGCTTATTTTTACTCACCTTGAGTTTAGCTTTGTAGAAATGGCTAAAAAGTATGCAAAATACATATGGAAATACTGTATTACAGCACCACCTGTCTAAAAGACCACTTTTTGAAGGAACTGTGGGTGGTCGCCATAGAGAGGTTTTACTGTATTTTCTAAGTCATGAAATACTTATTTAAGAAAACTTAATGCAAGCCCATAGAGCAAAGCACACCACATGTATCTTATCCATGATGTATGTAATTGCATAGTTTGATCATTAGAGGAATAAATTTAATTATTACCTATACCAATTTTCTCTCATCTAGCTTCTACATCTAATAAACAAACGTTAAATGAAAAATAATGCTAGATAATAAAGTTCAGTTACATTTCTGGTTTTAAAGTTTGTCTTAACTTCATTTATCGTTTTGCTGTATTAATTTTAAATATATTATTTCCTGATAAGTTATAATGACTGAATAAGTAATATATTGGCCACCAAATCCTAGAAAATTAGCCAACTCTTCCAGATCATTTGATTGGTGAATTCATTTAAAAAAATCATTTAAGTCACTGATTCTTTACAAATCCCCAATTGTTTTCATTCATAAATTTTTTGATCTTGTATGATTTGAGTCAGTCACCAAAACAATAAGCCAAATCAAATGATTGAATGAATCAAACCATTGAAAAGAATCATTTTGCCCCCTACAGTTTATGAAAAAATACAAATTGGAAGTTGACCATCAGTTTATTTATTTGAATTCTTTACAAATAGGAACTGAACAAACAATTCTGAAATTGGTATTACTGGATATATTAGCCACATCAAAGTTTGTTTTAGCGTATAAGTGTTTTATTTTATTTGGTAAATAAAACAGAAATGTAGAAAAATTATAAATAGCTTCTAAACCACAGAATTTATCTCAGTCCAACTACTCATCATAACAATCAAATCCATGTAATAATCGGAAGTACACTAACACTAAAACAGGTTCAAGGAGTCCAACAAATTGTTTTTTGAAACATTTTAAAACAAAATCAATTCAAAGTATTGGAATCATGTCAGATTTGACCCTCCAAGTGTTTTGTTAAACTCCACGTTTTAAACCCCCTGAACCAAAGTAACAAACAGTAGAAAAATTTTGTGCATATTGGCATCTATTTCATTTAATATCTCAAGATGGGGTAAAGATTAAGAAACAAAATTTAGCATGATAGTTTGTATATAAGAGGCATCGATGCTATTAAATTTTGGTTGTGAAGAGATAGAGGGTAATCATGTGTCATATCTGGAGTGGGGTCAAACTTAATGAAGATTTTATTTGTTAGCATTTACAATTTTTTTTCTTTTATAAAACTCATCTGTATCCTCAAAATTAAGCCTTTTGCTATTTTATAACAATTAAAAAATATAAAACATTTTCATAACAAAATTTCATAATAGATGGCACCACACACAATTTAATTTATTTTTAAAATAAAATCTCATGACAGCCAAGAAAGTTAAGCAACTTGTTGCTAAACCTTTTGTAATTATAGTTACAATGAACTGTTAATGGATGAAACAGACAAAAAAACAATGTTTGAGATGATCCCTTGAAATTTAACATTGGTAAATGTCACATTTTCAACAGCCACTTTGCAGTTATGTAATGTATGCTGGTGTCAGTTATACAGTCTCTTTATTTCAGTTTTAGTAATTTATAGATATATGCTGGTATATGTTATCTGAAAAGATAACATATACCAGCATGTATCTATAAATTACTCAGCAATTAAAATGTATTTTAATTACAAACTGAAAAAACTCTGAAATATCCTAACAAATATTTTCTTCTTATTCAGTATTAAAGATAACAAGTTAGAAAGTCTAATGGTTGTGTTATCTCTTGAAAAGTTAAGCCCCTTTATATATAGAAGTTTTTCAGTGTTTGGACTGGTAAAAAAATTTATTAAATTCTCTAGCTTGCATATTGCTTTAAAAATTGATACCAGCATACATCATTAGATAGTAGTGTCTATTATCAATTTCCTTAATTATCTCTTTTAAACATATTATGTAAAAAGTTTAACATTTTATTTTGAAACAAAATGTTCATAAAGGTATATAAACTTTAAAGTAAATTTTTGATAAAACAGTAAAATCTACATTTGATAATTTAAAAAAATACAGTAGACCCCTATAAAATGGGTTCATATAATTTGGATTCGTATATAACGGCGAAAAAATTGTGACCATATTTGTATAAACATGCTAAAAGAGACTCCTATATAATGGTAAAACGTCATCGCCGACTTGTGTTACGACAGGATTGGTCGAATCTAGACCAATAGCGGATATTGCACAAACCGTTGAGTTTAAATGAGCATGGAAATACTGTATTATAGCACCACCTGTCTAAAAGACCACTTTTTGAAGGAACTGTGGGTGGTCGCCATAGAGAGGTTTTACTGTATTTTGTAAGTCATGAAATACTTATTTAAGAAAACTTAATGCAAGCCCATAGAGCAAAGCACACCACATGTATCTTATCCATGATGTATGTAATTGCATAGTTTGATCATTAGAGGAATAAATTTAATTATTACCTATACCAATTTTCTCTCATCTAGCTTCTACATCTAATAAACAAACGTTAAATGAAAAATAATGCTAGATAATAAAGTTCAGTTACATTTCTGGTTTTAAAGTTTGTCTTAACTTCATTTATCGTTTTGCTGTATTAATTTTAAATATATTATTTCCTGATAAGTTATAATGACTGAATAANTTAGTCTAGAATCGATTAATTTTATGGAAGAAAACCTTTCAAACAGCCGTAGTCCGTAAACTGCATACGTGTTAGGCTGCGATTAGCTCATGTATTTAAGGACTCGTAGAACATCAATTTCATAAAGAACGGAACTTATCTACCGTGTTATAGGGGTCGACTGTAATTCTTTCTGAAAAATGTGAATAATAATAACCATGAAATTGCTTTCTGAAGATTAAATCTAGGTTACTAAATTTCAAATTAAAATTAATCACAAAAATTGATTTCTATGTATCAAGCTTATTTATTTAATTATTAATCAGCTGTTTTATACAAAATTACAAATGTCTACGTCCTAACATAATAATAATAAACAATTCTTTTAATTAGTTTTTTTTTTAATAATTTGCAAATAAAAATTTTTATAATTTTCAAAACACATCATTTTGTCATAATATGATTAATTTTTCTAAATAATAATTCTGAATTATTGAAAATTAATAACAAAACTATTAATTATTTTAGTTAACACTTTTTTAAAAATATAATGATTTTAATAATACTAATTTTACAATTTTAATAAAATTTTAAAATATTTACAAAAATATTTATATTTATTTATTTACATAGTTTTATCTATGGATTTTTAAAATATTGAAAAATTATAGGTAGAGTTATTGCAAAGGCACCATATATAAATGCAACTGTTGCTAAAGAATTAATTTTCATTTTAAATTCCAAATTTTTTTCGGCATCTTTCAACAACCTCTCTACATCATTTCCAACATATATTGCTGGTATATCATTACTTTCATTATCTGTCTCAGGTTTTGAAGCTCTTAGTGAGTTCACTAAAACTTTTACTTCTTTCATTTCTTGTGCCATCATTTTTTCTTGTTTCTGAATCAGTGAAAGAATTTCATCAGTCTGTGTTTCCAACTTCTCATAAGGTAATTCTACATCTGTCATCATGGAAGAATTATTTATTTTTCCTTTCAGTTCGTGCAAATTTCCTTGCAAAATTAAAGATTTTTTCAAATCGCTAACAAAATCCACAACTTGGCGATGCTGTGTTTTCATAACATTAGTTAAATCATTAACTAGGAGATGTAACTTATTCTGATCAGATGCTTCGGAAACAAGTCCTCTCAATTCTTTCATTCTCATTCTGTTGTTAATGCTAGTTCCAATAATACCAATTACGGCACCACAAATAGAACCAATTATGGACCAATATTTTGTTCTTTCTGCTTGAGCTCTTTCTTTCTCATGACTGCTTCTAACAGCTAAAGAAAGAGCTGAAAAATATTCTCTTTCTGCTTTTTCTAAATTTTTAAATTCTTCCAAAAGGCCTTTTTCTTCTCTAATTATAGCATGTTCCTATTTAAAATGAAACATCAATATATTAATAAACAAACAATTTATCCTGTCATCACTAAATAACTTAATACTATTAGGCATTTCAAAATTATGTATATACACTTTAAAAATTTATATTTCATTAACAACATGTATAATTTTGTTTTCTTTATCACATATCACAAAGAATTTTTGTGAGAAATTTAAAAACTCTGAAGATAAGAGATAGACAATTTTTTACAATAGCATAAATTTGTGTAAATGTTTAAATGTCACCATCAGCACAAATACAAGTACAACATCTCTCACCAAAATGCATAAGATAATAGACAAAATTGTTTCTGCTTCCTGTCATATCATCCAATCCTGCTGTATTTCCTGCAACAGGATTGTTCAATAATACACTTCTTGCTTAATGTTGGATTAAATTTATAAGCACTATATCGGCTTTTCTTTGTTGCTAGGCTTATTACACTATCATTCAGTACAAGACCAGCTTTAGAAAATTACATTTTATTTCCAAGAGAATGCATTTCAGACATTTAGTCCCTCATCAACTCTTTATGATGTAAATATTTATGAAACATACAATACAGTAAGGACACCAATCGGTACAAAATCTGAGTACAAATTATTGATTTTTTGGTATTTGATTAAACAAAACATAAAGTAATATAAATAAGATAAGCAGTGAAAGGCAACGACGAAAAAGGTTTTTATTTCATTGTTTTAATGGTAAAACTGTTAGCTATGTTGTGTTTTTAAGTGTCCTTCATTGTGTATACTGTTTGCCTTTCACTGCTTATCTTATTTATATTACTTTATATATTGTACTGACATGTTTAATCAAATACTGGGAAATCAATAACCTGTACTCAGGTTTTGTACCAATTGTCGTCCTTATTGTACGTTTCATCATAGAGTTGTCGAGGGATTAAATGTCCAAAATGCGTTCTCTTGGAAATGAAATGTGATTTTCTACAGCTGGTCTTGTAATGAATGATAGTGTAATAAGCCTAGCAAAAAAGAAAAACCAATATAGCGCTTATAAATTTCATTTGTGACTAAATCACAACCATTGGCATAAACATAATCACAGACTACTTTATGATGCTTGAGGTGCAAAATCTTGTTGAAAAAAGTTAAATATATTGCTGGACTTCATTGGCATTGTCATACTTCCATCATCATTTTATAATTGTCTTTCTTACTTCAAAACTTAATTGAGAATTAAAAATAAAACAAAGACAATTACTTTATTGTGAAAATTATATTTTAAAATGTGATAAAATGTTGCAACACTTTTGACAAAATTAAATATAAACTTTGTCAATGAAATGCTTTAATCTTTAAACTATGAGCATTTCAGATCATTTAGTTGAAGTGTTTTAAAAAATGTTGAATATAATATAATATAATAATTTTTTTGTACTGCCTGTAGTGTGAATTTTGAAAATGCAGAAATTACGAATAACAATGACACAAATTTTAAATTACCAATTGCCACTGAATTTCTTTTTGCAACAAAATATAGTATTTCATTCTTACCATTGTCCACTGCAGGTGAAACAATAAATTCCTCAAGATCTAAATAAGCAAAACAAGTTAATATCTAAATAAGCAGATCAATTATCATTTATGTTTCCTTTTGATATTAAAAGTTGTTTATTTATTAGTTTAAGTACTGTTTCCTCATTTACAAGTTTCTGTAAATTTGAAATTTCACATCTTTATGTCAATTGACAGTATTGCATATGTGAGGTAGCAAAAATCCCTATAATCAAACTAGACTTTAATATTAATATTGTTCGAGTTACGCAACAATTGTTGTTCGTAGCTACCTGAGAAAGTCTCCCGTTACATTTTCTCGAAGGCAACATGATGCTTTCTCATGATCTTTTAACCTCTGGACGGCCGATATCGTCCGTGAATATCGCCAAAGACAGCCAAAAAAAAGTCAGTCGTCATCTGTCCCTCCGAAAAAAAGTCATAACCAATTACTCCTGGAATATCGTCCAGAAAAGTCATAACCAATTACTCCTGGAATATCGTCGACTAGTGCCATTTTGGATAACTTCTGCCATCATTGTGCTAGTGGATATTATAGTGGAACTAATCACCATCGCAACTATTATCACCCAACAAGAGCTCCATCGGGAAACCACCTTTTATCACCAGGTATTTATGCAACTTGTGCTCATTATGTGAACTCTCTCTCTCCGCGACCAACTTTAGAACCTCTGTATCTTATCCAAGTTATTTTAAATTAAATCCTAGTTAATTGTTAAGTGTAGTTCGAGTCTCTTCCACATGCTGTCTCTCGATCGGCTGACATTACGAATCCGTCTGTCCACTTACAGGACCGCTCGCGTGATGGTGTGACATAGTAATTGCTATCTCGGCTTCCGTGTTCTGATAAACATGGTGGTGTCAATCCTGACAGGGCACTAAAGAGGTGCCGACCCGAAAGGTCACACATAAATTCACATAAAGATGTGGAATTTCCAATTCACCCATAATGTGCTTTATTTCTGAACAGAAAGTTCTAAAATTTTTATACAGTAGTAACTTTATTTTGCTTTTTAGAGAATTTTTTACTCTGTAATTTTATAAGTTTTGATGTTCTATTATATGTTCAATATTTAATTTTTAAATTTTCAATTATTGTATGTAAAATTTTATTGAAAAATATAAATTACACAAATTTGAAAAAATGAAATACAGTATTGTATAATAAAGTCACAACTGATATTTTGTTTTTATATCAATAGTATTTGTCTTTAAATGTCATTGTTAAAGAAACAATAATGCTAAAAGGGCATTCATGGTATCAATGTTTATGTAAACGTCATTTAATATGGTATAACAATGAATATAATTCAGTATTGCAAAACTAAGCTTATTTTATATCAGAGACACTTGCTGATGAAAAATTAGAGGATAGAGATTCCATCACATGTAAAATTTGTTTAGTATAACCCAGAATTTTTAGTACTCAGTTATATCATGCTACTGGATATATCGCACTTTTACTTTGTCTCCCAACAAGTAACGAGGGCTACTGTAATATAATTACAATTTGATGGTCTTTTGAACTACAGCAAGCTGAGTGAATAATGTCCAATAGATGGGTCTACTATGAAGTTAAGCTTAAGCAGTTATCAGCTATGCTGAAGAACATGTATACAGATATTTCATGTATACTGGTATATGTATCTGGAAAACTTCATGTTTACCTGAGCATGTGAAATCTCTTAAAAAATTGATTTTAAGTAATTTTGATTGTGATTTTGTGTTAGCTATCAGATCCTCTACACTTGATAATGGAGTCATAAATACAGTCAAACCTGTCTAAAACATAACCTGTATAGTGAAAGCCTGTCACTAACAGAAAATTTCTTCAGTCCCTTGAATTTTTTTGAAAAAAGTAAATGTCAATTAACCTATATATAGCAGAACCTGTCCAACATGGAAACAGAAAGAAAAATTGGGTTCTATAACAGAAAAATTGGTATCTTTATTTGATTTAACACAAATTTAACAAGAAGTTTACAAACCTAGCATGTATAAATTGTAAAAAAGTCAAAAATACACATGCCCAATACAGAAAATATGACTACTGTATTACAGTAATTTTATTGGGATTTGAATGGAAAGTTTTTGCATATTTTTATTAACAGCTATTTTTACTTATAATTATATCACACATTAATTTGTGAAATTTAACATATTATTCATGATGTGAGATTGTATTCTTTGTTTTGAAGCATATTTTAAATTTTTTTACATCACATTTCATTTGAATAAAATCAAGTTGAAATGTCTGCAGATAAAATGCACGTTGGGCATATTATGCATTATTTTTAAGTTTCATAAAGCATATCACACTATACAAACAATAAAAAATACTCATACTGTGTATGGAGAAGATGCTTCTAAACTCCAAATGTTTCAAATGTGATTTTGAAAGTTTCGTTCAGGAAATTTTGAACTAAAGGATACAAAACATGTGGGAAAAATTGTTAAAGATTGATGAATAAATAACTTGTGAATTTGCAACAAATTGTAGTGTATTACAGACATGTATTGTTGAAACACTGTCCACTTGAAATGGTTGTAAAATATGATGATTGTGTTTTGCAAAAAACGCAGTTTGTTTTTTTTCCACTTATGAAAAATACGAACTGAATCGAGTATAATTTTGTCTGATGAAGGTAGGCAGCTGTAAGGTTTCATTTTATTTTTAAATTGGTTACTCATTTGTATCTTTAATTTTTTCATTCATTCATAAAAAAGTTAAGTTAAAATAAAAATATTTGTTATTAACTGAAAATTTGTTCTAGTGGGTGGTGACTGTTTGGTTGAGTACCAAGATACCACTGTATTTGATTAATGCCATTTTGATATACATGCTAACATCAAGAAATTTATTAATTGCAAGAATCAAGAGATACCTATAGTAGGTAACCTGTATATAGTGGAAACCTGTCTACTATAACTGAACTATATACTGAAACTATGGAAGAGTTGTCTCCTTGGGGTTCTATTATAGACAGGTTTGACTGTAAATACATTTAGAGTTGTAAACACCATGAAGCAGTATGAATTTGACAATGATTTTCAAAAATGCACTTATGTTATTTGAATATATTAACTTCAAAAAACTGTATGCTTGGTGTTAGTGTATGCATTACATTTTCAAGCTAACTTTTTCAGGTTTCAATGTCTTAAAAATCAGGTTATATTAAAATCAAGAAAGCATAGTAAAATAAACAAACCTGCGTTATAAGGTTTAAATAATTATCTTCTCCTCTAGAAGTTTTGTTTAATTCATTATGTATATCTTTTAATTTCAGCTGAATTTGTTGAATAAATTGTTGTTTTTCTCTTCTTTTCTCTTGTGTTTCCATAAATTTTTCTTCTGCCTATATTAAAATGTTATGATAATATAAATTTTTTATATCAACTACAATACATATTTTTAAATATTTAACTTTTTATTTCTTTTAATCAATAATAAAATTTATTTAATTCAGCAATAAAAGATAATTTGTTTGAATGTATTAACTTCAAAAATTATTGACAGAGGAAATGGTGGTAAATGGGAACAAACTGACTTTGCTTCAGAGTAATAAGGAAAACAGATATATTCAATATGTTACAAAACAAAATAAATTTTTATTGATGAAATTTTCTCATAGATCATATCCAATAATTTTACAATATACNTTCCCAATTTTCAAACCGTGTTAGAGCGAATCCGTGCTATAGAAGTGCCGTGTTATACGGGGGTTACCTGTACTAAGTATATTATGTTCCAAAAATAGAATCTCTATTTAAAAACCTGACAAAGGCTTATCAGTCAGGCTGAATACATTTAGTTTAATTAAAATTAATTGCTGGAAAAGTATATAAGGTGCGTTCAGTGTTTTTATATTATTTGGTTGTCAGACTTAGCAAGTAAACATATAAATTAAAATACACTTATATAACTTTGTTTAATGCTTGTTATCATCAAAGTTTTATCATCATTATCTTTAAGTAATAGCATCTTTAAGCTTTTCATATATTCAGCCTCAACACGTAATTGACAATGTACAACTATTATCAATCTTAATTAGCACTTTAAATGTTGCTCATTTTTAATTATTTGCTCAAAGTGCAAAATCAAGTGTTTTTCTCTCATTTTTGTTCATGCACTTTTCAATCATATCCATTGTGGATTTGGCCAGGTCCATGATGGGGATGATCAGGTGGTGAGGACAAGAATTGATGTATTTGGAACAGACCACCACCCAAAATATTCCTGGGATTGCTCAGCCAGATTTCATCTTGAAACCCAGAGCAATAGGCTGATGCCTTAACTGCCCCAGCCATCTGTTATTTATCATCAATATAAGTCATGTTCTATGATTATAACACTTACGTGTTGTGGCGTTACAGGAGTGGAGTCTTGGAGAATGAACGAGTTCATTCTCCAAGACTCCACTCCTGTAACGCTACAACACCTAAGTGTTATAATCATAGAATAACTTCGTTGGCGTGAAGTGTCATTGTATACTATATCATGGATAAGTCATGTTTGATCAAGTTATCATCAGCATAAGCAATAACAGAACTTTGATTATATTAAGCCAGAATGACACTATTACTACCAAGTAGTCTTACCACCCATCCAGTTTTCACCCGGACAGTCCGGGAATTGACTCACTGTCCGGGTGAACTGTTAATTTTGTCTGAGAATTTCGTAGAAATTGTGAAATTATGAGGAAACAAAGTTCTTGCAAATATTTTTACAAATTTACACTATTTTAATAGCAAAAGAACTCACACTCACTGAAACTCATCTGTTTGTTCATCTGCTTACGCCAACGTGTGGCACACAACCTGTTGACTTTTTTTCTTTTTGCATGTATGATCGTACACGTCTACGGGCTAAGTTACCTGTACCTGTTCTTTCTTAATTTAGATTACTTACGTTACTCCTATGCAAGTCCCTAGACCCTAACTGTAACTGATTTAGAACCGGCAAGCATGTTATTCTTTGCATTGTAAAATGACATTGTGCATGTGTCAGGAACTTCTGTTCGAACTAACCTGACCTGCCATCCAGATCAGCAATTTTGAAAAGGTGACAACACTACTACCAAGTGGATCATCAGCCTACTTTTTAAGAATTTTTTGGAAATCATCAGGCATTTTTATTGAAACTGAAAGTATTTATATTTTTTTCATAATTTTTCATTATCACCACCACACAAGTTTTCCATCCAAGGTTATAGAAAAGTATTCACAAACACTAGATTTAACCCAAGAGATAGGATGTTAACATTAATGCTTCTATTAAGAGCTTAATATAAAGTAAATAATAAAAAACAGAAGTCAGAGATGGAGTTGGTCCTGACTCTGACTCCTCTAGCAATAAGTTTTCTTCTGACTCAGACTCCACAGCCTTGGTTCTTACCTACAACATTCTATCTAAAAGGTAACATGAGAACTCTGAATGAAGGATTTGCCACTCCCTAGAATTGTAGACTTCCCTGTTTGAGCAAAAAAGTCAACAAAACCATATCTACATGCAACATTTTGTGAGATATTCACCTCCAAAGGTCAGTTTTTAGTATGAACCTGTACTATTGCCTATTGCAGTGGTCACTGTCGCTCACACCTCAGCACCTTCATGGGTGCTGAGGTGTGAGAGACAGTGCAAACAACCTTCATTAGTGTTGCCACCTTTTGAAAATCACTGACCCGGACGGCATGTCAGATTTGTTCGAACAGAAGTTCCTGATGCATACACAATGTCATTTTACAATGCGAAGAATAACGTGCATAACGGTTCTAAATCAGTTACAGTTAGGGACTAGGGCAGGGGTGGCCAACAGTTTTTTCCCCCGGGCCGAATTGGAAAGAAAACTTTTTCCACGGGCTGAACCAGAGGCTGCCCTAGGAAGATTTTGAAGTGGTGCAAGATCTCCTTGTGGTATCACCCCGTAGAGATTAAATTGTAGATAGAGATTACAGATACATTTTTCACATTATCATGCTTTATCAACATTCTACGCTGTACTTACGAGATTTGTAATGGAGGGTTAACTCTAAATGCGCAGTGAGTTGTTGACCTAAATTCATTAGACAGGCCTTATGTTGGCCATGCCTGGACTAGGGACTTGCGTAGGAGTAACGTAAGTAGCCTAAATTAAGAATGAATGGGTACAGATAAGTTAGCTATATTTGAGACGTACAAGCAAAATAAAAAGCAGATCATACAATCAAGAAAAAAAAGGTGTTGTGCGCCATACGTTGGCGTAAACAGACTAACATGGCAGAATTGCAGATGAGTTTCAGTGAGTGTGAGTTCTTTTGCTGTTAAAATAATGTAAATTTGTAAAAATATTTGCAAGAACTTCATTTCATTGTAATTTCACAATTTCTACGAAATTCCCAGACAAAATTAATAGTTCACCCGGACAATGAGTCAATCCCCAGACTGCCCGGGTGAAAACCGGACGGGTGGTAACACTAGACTTCACACCTTCCAAAAACTATATAACATCAAATATTTCATGAACAGCAAGTGAGCTACTCAAAGCTGGCAAAGTTACTTGGGCTAAATAGTTACATGCGATAGTCTTAGCAGAGCGACATGACTCCCCATCACATACGTCCAGAAAGTAGTCTGATTTTGGGGGTTTTATCTTTCGAAGTGTCACATATAGAGATATGATACTTTTGACTTTTTTGCTCCTTTAAGTACAGTCTACAGCTCTGGTAAGATCCCAACCGTCTCATTCAGAGATGTAATTGTGCTTGCTTCATACACAATCAATCCAGAAGAATATATTAAAAACCAAACCTGAATAACTTTCAATTGCGTTTCTTTCATTTCACTCAGTCCAATAAAATCTTCGTAACTTTTCATCCATTTGTTAATTTTCTCTTTTATTAAAGATTCATTGAAAAGTCCAACACTTGTACTGGACGTCGTCTGAAATTTGAATCGAGAATTTTCCCAAGAATTAATACATTTTCTTATTTTGATACCATCCACATGCCCACGCTTCCACAAAGTCGCCATTTTTGTTTATCAGCTGTTTGATATATTCCGTTTCGTAATTATTAAATAATTATTTAGCGTAAAAATAAATCGGAAATCGTTTTCCGTTTTAACGATCAACTCATTATTTAATTTATATTTGAAAGCAAAATAATGAAAATAAAATTACATTATAGACACATCTGTTTTTATATATAACATTTCGTCTATGCGTATGCTTAGTGACGAGGAAGATGTCACAAAAATCATATTTTAATGCCAGTTTATTCGGCCAATACTTTTAGGATATTTCGGTACAAGTGTATATTTTTATATTTAGTAATTATTATATTCTAACGTGGCAAATAATTTATATTAAATGCTGAATCCTATTAAATTATATAGTAAAATATAACCGAAAATAAATCGCTAGTGATGCAAGTTTAACACGTGGCTTCGTGATTTGAAATTGACACGATTTCGATGTATATTTCAACACGTTAGAGCATCAAAAGACTTAAATTTAAATGTTATATTATTACAAATTGTATAAAGTATCAGCTGATGATTAATTCATGCTTGTTCCTTTAATTTATACAGTATATTACTATGATTCGGGTATTAAATACTAACGAAATTGATAATTCTAGTAAAAAAAATTATTTTATCAATCTTGAATTAGATTAACAAATTTCTTAATCCCTTTTGTTGTTGAAAGACAGAAAATATATGTTTAGATTATTGAATGTTCCGGTTTTGTTAATTAATATATGCACATAAGAATAACATCAATATATTTATCACTTCATAATATTGATTAATATAGGAAATTTGCAATGATATACTTGATTTGAGGCAGAATTTTTGATTGATTCTATCAATTGAGATGAACGAATTTCTTCATAAAAATACAATTTTTTGAGTGATTTAAATACTGTATATATTATAACATCTCTATCTTTTGTAGTTGACCAGAAAAAATCTCAGAATCTGCATTCGGTATAACATTGCATCAGATAATACTGATGATTGATAACAAAATTGATAGAATTATTTTCGAAACATGAAAAGTGTTGTGATTATTTCTAAAGAAGAAAAATCAGATTTGTTTTGATATTTCTGTTTATTTCAGTTTTAATAATAAAATTAGTTACATATAACACCAAATCTGATATTTGTCAGATGGGCGTTAAGGGGGTTTAATAATTAATAATTAAATGATATGGCTGAATTCTTTATCGGATTATAGTATTGCTTGATTGGTTTGGAAGCAAAGATTGGATGGAGGACCAAGTATCATAACTACTAATGTGTTTGCATGGTATACAAAAGTTGAGGATTGGTTTGAATCATGCTTTGGGCTGATCTTTTCTTCCAGAATGTTCTAAATTAAATTTATTCATTTGTAATGATTAAATTTAACAAGATATCTATTTTTATTAAGTTTTAGCTACCTATTTCTATTTCAAATTACTTAGTATTTTAATAATTAATTAGCCATATTAGAGCTTGATAAAGAATCTGGCTGTATCATTTTAAAATTAGTTTAACATTATCTGATTTTATTATTAAAGACTGACTTTGAATATTTACTTATATAGATGACAATATTTTTTGGAAATTTTATTTATATATTTGTGCTTGTGTGCAGACAAATACTGCATAGTTACCAAAAGCAAATGTTAAGCTTTAAGCCATATTTTATCTGCCTAAAATTTTTGTGAGATAAAAAGTATTTTCATACATAATTATAAAGTGTATTTTTTATATGACAATATATTAATACTAAAATAAAAGACTATTATAAGATTTATTACTTGAAATAATAATTTTATAATAATTAATTTTAATATTAATATAAATATTTTATACTGTAAAAATGTGCAGGTTATTTTAGAACAGTGATTTTCAACCAGTGTGAAAATTTTTGTAGGTTGTTAAATAAATCTTTTTTGAAAGAAGCTCAAGGAACAATAACTGTACATGTCAAAATTCAAATTGATTATACAAGTTCTACTTGTCAAATTTTATGAGTTTTTTATTGTTACAATAAATAAATGTAAACATAATGTAGTAAAAAATATATATTCATAAGCTAAATTATGTGTGCATAATGCTGGGTTATTTCATTTAAAATGAAATTTTCTTTAAATAAAAAATGTAACTGTAATTGTCCATATTTAGTTCAAATTATTTTAACTTTGAAATAGTGGAACATTGGGCAGGTTTCTAATGGCAATTATCATGCCACTGTTAAATGCAAATTAAGATTTAATGTTAATTTCTTTTCTTATGTAAATGAAAATTATTAATTTAAATAACTATTGTTGTAGCCTGCTGCTATTTTAAGGAACAACAGTACTGTTTTATTTAATTTGCAAAAAATATAGGCATAAAGAATTAGGTTAATTGGCAAATAATATGGTAATAGAATGATTGCAAACATACTTTTTAAATTACATCATTTTTTCTCTGCATATTGTAATTTAAGTGTGCCGCAGAAATTTAATTATAGGTTCAAGTGTACCTTGAGATAAAAAAGGTTGAAAACCACTGATTTAGAATACCAGTTAAATTCTTAACTAAATTTTTTTATGTTACTAAAAATTTATCATTATATTAGATAAGACAATGTATTTTGACAACAAAATTCATTAAAAAATTGCTTAAGTTATTGCCATACTCTCCTACTCAAGTAATTTTTCAGAAAACATTTTGAATTTAATATACTTTGATTATTGTCTGAATATAATTTTCAAGACTTATTTTTTAAATATAACAAATGTTTTTAGGACATTCTATAAATATAATCCATAATGGAATGGATTTTGATAATTGCTGCTGCAATTCATCTTATTATTTGCCCATATACAAAAGTTGAAGAAAGTTTTAACTTACAAGCAATACATGATTTACTCTATCATGGTTCAAATATTTCTCAGGTAAGAAATATTTTTTAAACAGAGAAAACAAATAGAATCCTTGTCTTAAGTTTTATTCATTAGAAACTGAATACATTACATTTTCCTTAATTATATTTAATAGAAAAGAACACTGCTAAATTTATTTATAATCTTAAATGTATCAGTGCTTTTTCTCTTTTAAGTATGGCAATGCCAAGATTTGTGTATTGTGTCTAATTACATTTTATTTATTAGTCTTAATAAAAAGTTTACCAAAAAATTATATTTACTGAGATTATAACAGTTAACAATTAATATAAACAAGAAAATTATAAATATTGTCACTTTAATTATTCTGATAATGTAGATATAAGTAAATACATATTTTTATATGTAATCAAATATCATTTTGTAATATATATTGATCATTTTTAATTTTAAGTATGGAAAAATAAATGGCTAAATATTTTATTAATCAATTTTTTATTTTTAAAACAGTATGATCATTTGGAATTTCCAGGAGTAGTTCCAAGAACATTTTTAGGACCTATAGTCATTTCTATGTTCTCTGTGCCATTTGTAACTATTGTCAATACTTTTGGTTTAAGTAAATTCATAATTCAATATATAGGTAAGATTTAAATTCAGTTTACAATTGAAAATAAGAAATACAGATTATCCATAATTAAATAATATTTATTGAAATATTTCTGGATAAAACTATTACAATGTTTTTAGAATCATTAATTTTATAAATCTGACTATGATAAAAAAATTAACATTAACTTCAAAAATTACCAGTTAATGAAGAAAAATATTATATTCAATAAAATCACAAAAAAAATTACAGAAATACGTTATATATTATGGAATAAAATTATTAATGTGAAAGTTTAATCACATATTATGACAAGTATTGATCTTAATATTGACATACACTTCATGAGTAAATTATTAAAAAATTATATTACACAATTTTTTATTAATTATTAACTGTTTTTGCTAACTGTATGATGATAAAATTATATTCTCCTAATAATTTATTTCATGTTTAAAGACAATAAAATAACAAATATAAAATTTACAATGAAAATTAAATAAATTTTCTGATAAGTTGTGCTAAGAAAGTATAATTTACTGTAAGATAAAAAAACAGTCTTATAGTTGTGATATATGTAATGAGAGCAATAAAAAGGATTAAGTTTTTAAAAATAGTAAAAATTAGAGTAAAATAGTAAATTTAAAACTAAGATTTTTGTCTTTGTTGGTTTTTTTTTAATTACTTTCTTCTGATGAAATTAAAATTATTGTGAAAGAATTAAAGTGAATAGTTGACTGATTTCTAACTGAGAAAACTGGTATATAATTTTAAATGAAAACTGAATAACTGCATTAGAAATATAATTTAGATATTATGTATGAAATTGTTAGTTAATTTTCACTTTTAAGTATAAATAATTATTATAAATGTTTTAAATTTATTGTTAACTGTTAAAAGACAAATATATGTAATTTCAAATCAACTTATTTTTTATTCTGAAAATGTTTTTGGGATTATAGCATTTTATTGGTCAGAAATGATTACATCAATCATCTGTAAAAGAAATTTTAAAAATATGATGAGAAAATTTTTAGTTTTTGAATTTAAATGTTCAAATAAAAGAGTATTGGAAAAGATTTACAAAAGAAAAGTTTATTGCAAATAAAGTATTTACAGAAAACAGTGAAAAAATTAAATGAGAAGAAGAAAAAATATTGTGAAAAATATAAAATACAGCAGTTACATAAAATGCGAAAAGTTATGTTATCTGTAAAGATATTAAAAATGATATTATTTAGGTGAAATAACTGTTTTTAATTCAAGACCAACAATTGAAAGATATTTGCTTAAGTATTATATATAACATATTATGAAGGAAATTNTATAATGATAAATATATATATATATATATATATATATATATATATTGTATATAATTCTGAAAATATTTACAGAATGATAAGTTGACTCAAAATAACTGATTTCTATAGATATAAATTTTTAACATTAATGATCAATAAATATCATTGTTATATTTTAATATTAAATGTTGTTTCTTTTAGTTCGTGCTATTTTGGGATCTTTTGTGATATTTGCATTTTACCTGTATCGATGTTCTTTAGAAAAACAGTTTGGAAATGTCTTAACAACATGGTTGGTGCTTATTACTGCTTCACAATTTCATTTTATGTTTTATTTATCAAGAACTCTTCCAAATACATTTGCACTAATTTTAGGTAATTATTTCATTTTTACTTTGTTTCATAAATACAATAGACTATGCTTATTGTATACACAGATATTGTTGTCTGTCATTTAATGTTCTGTTTTGGGACATGTTGATTCTGATAAGTTAAAATATACTTCAAAAGCTTCATTTATTGTAATCAGATTTCAGTTTATTATTATTATAAATAAGCATTTTAAGCTGTTGTCTGTAATCAGCTTCAAAATGTGACTGATAACATACATAGTATAATCATTATCAGTTTTAACCAGGGCTTTAATTTTTATTTGTTCCCAATACAGAAGCTTAAATTGCTGGCATTTCTTACTTAATTATATGCTAGCTGTGTTTAAGGGCAGAAACAGACAAACTACACTGGATGAATTACAGGTTAATTAATAATAATAACTATAATTAACAAAATTTTAACTTTTCAATTGTTTTAACATGTATTTTTAACTTCAGAGCCAATAAACCCAAATTGTATTAATTCATCAGCATTTTTTAATAATTAAATTTGAATTCTATCATAATCAGTGCTTCAGCATATGACATATATTAAAGTGTTGTCTCAAGTTTATCTTTCTTGATTAGAATTGCTTCTGCTAATGTTGTGCTGTAGAAGTCATAATTAGCTTATGTTTTTAAAAACTAGAAATGAATTCTTACCATCTACATAATTTTTGGTTTTAATGTCTGTAATTTGATTACTTCTATTGTCTTTCAGTAGTTCAATGTACAGATGCTAAAAGTCTCTTTCTATAAAATGTAGAGACTTTCATAATCACCTCTTTCTAAAAGATAACTGTTTGATCTTTTTATATTCAAGGTTACTTCTTTCTATTTTAATCAATGACAGTTTCATAATAATGAGTATTTATCTTTTGTTCATAAGCCTTTTTTCACTCCTTGTCTATTGCATATTTAAAGGTCTTAAATTTGAGTTTATCTTCTTGGCTTTTGATATTTTTCAATTTGCATCTTTTTTTCTACTTTATATAATATTTCATTATTAATCCATGTTTTTTTTATGAATTTAGGTTTTTCTCTGCTGCCAAATTATATTTTTGATTTTCTTCATTTGTCATATGTTGAGTCATGGGTATGCAGTTGTCTTAATAAGGAAAGTTTTGGTGTTCATTTGGTGGAAAATTAGCATTTCTTTAGACTTTAATGACACTAACATCAAACTTGTTTTGCTGATTTTACCTGCTTCTTCCACTTTAATATGCTTTTTGTTATTACTATATTCTGAATGGAGCTTACATCTGCTCCTGAGTACATCAGAGCTTTCTTTATTTGGTTCTTATATTTCTAGCATACCAAAACATAGTCTAGTTGATATTTTTTAGATTCAGTATTTTTGAGCTAAAGTAAGGTATGATTAAAAGGATTAAATTGAAAACAAAATATATGTTTAATAATAACATTTATTCAAAATTATCCTTTACTCTTTAGAACATATTTCCTTAAAAATGTCCTAAAGAATAATGAAAACATGACTTCTGACAGAAAGTTTGTATGAAAAATTTATTGTTTAACAGATCTTAATTTCAAATTGTTCATGTACTTAGCTAATTTATATATTTTTGTGCTTTAGTTTTCATGAATCAAAATATTTTTGTATATTAAATTAATTATTTTATTCTCTTATTTGTTTAATTTCAGTTTTATTAGCATATCATTTTTGGTTAAGACAAAAACATCAACAACTAATTTTTACAACAGCTGTGGTTGTAATAGTCTTCCGTGCTGAGTTAGCCATATTATTGGGATTTATTATTCTCATTGAGTTAATCTCAAAAAGACTTGTCATAATAGATGTTTTAAAATGGGGCATTCCAAGTGGATTACTTATTTTAGGTATGTAATTGAAAAATTTTAAATAAGTTTAATATTTAACAATATAGATAAATAAATTTTATTTGAAAGAGAATTTTATTTTATTAAATTATGTAAATTTAAAAATTTAGAACTTTTTTACTAAAATATATTTGCAATCATAGCCAAATCAATACCTCTGGAGGAAAAAATTTTAACATAGATATATGTTAATATTTGACTTTGAACCCTGTAAAAGATTAAAATATATAAACACTCTTTTGTTTATTATTGTTTTAAACGTATCTACTTGTATTTCTAACAAATATAAACTGTTTGTTGAATAATATATTGTCTAACAGTCTATACTTGTTGGACCTTGTTAACAAGATTAAAAATTGAAAATATTTTATTTTAATTGATTTTTTTTTTTTCACAACAAATAATGCACCCAAAATTTTTTCACAGTTATTACTATTATTATTAAATAATTTAATGTTTAGTTCTTTTCAAATATAAATGCAACTAAACAAAAACATCACAATTACTGTAGTTTAATGCATTTTTTATGGAATGCTAATTTGCATATATTCTTGGATGCCATACAAACAAAACCAAAAAACTAAAATTCTGTTTCACCCATTGTCATAATCTTTATCAGATGGTAGAAAATAATCAATAGAATGAAAATAAACCATTACCAAGCCAAAAATGAGTGGATTTTTTCAAATGGTGTAATAAAAAAGGCTAAAAAAATTATTTTTGTGTTTGTTTACATTAAAGTCAAATTAGCTAAAATCAAACCTATATCAACAAATCCTTACTCATTATATATCAGATTTAATGGAAAAAATGATTTTTAACATAGACTAATAATAATAACCATAAAGTTATTCATTTTCAAATGCATGCAGTTTTTAAAAAAGATCAGTCCACAGATTCATAGCAAGAAAAAAATCAATCCCTAACATATTAACACAACAGAGCAAAATGACAACTTGCATTTTAAGAATTTGGAATGATTGAAAATGCTTGAAATGTTATTGCTGTACATCAATATGATGGAAAGATAAAATATTATTTTTGATCATAAAATAATCAATGAAAATAATTCCCTCTATAAATATCAATTCAAAACCTGATTTATAGTTTAAGCCAAATGACTGCTGAATTATCAGGCTATAATATAGATATATCTATGTAATTAAATAATTTGTTTAATTTAGCTGCTTACCTCAAGACAAATTAATTAAATATTAATTAATTATGTAACCATATTATAGCCAAATCATTTGACTATAATTTCCTCTGTTAACCAAACAATGGACATTTAAATTATGTACATCTTTTATTGACAGATGAAAAATTTTTTCTAATTTGTTATATTTATATAATATGAAAATATTTGAATATTTTAATGTATGATAATCGTTTTTTTTTCAAATAAATTATTTAAACTTTTTAAGAACTTTTGATATAGATACAATGTAATTTATTCAAAGCTTTAAACCTAATTCTAAATATAAACTACATTGTATAAAATGGTTATTAGATGCCTATAAAATCTTGTGCAGTGCAAAACCATGTTATATGAGACTAAATACCAGTAAGAGAAAGAGGTTATATTCAAAAGCTAACACAAGTCTGCCAAATTCACAGAAATAAAAAGATCATGCAACAATAATAGTTATAATTTTCATTTCAGTTTTCTTTATAGTCCAAATTGTTGTTTCTAATAAATTGAAACTTTTTGTAGTATATGATACATTATCTCCTTTTTAAAAATGATCCAAAATTTATATGTTTGATCTTAGAGAAATAAAGTCACTTTTGAGTATCGCATTATTACTTACATTAGACATAATTTAGGAATGTAATTCAATTCATAACTAAAATTACTTTAATACATTTCTTAATAAAAAAAAGTTTAGTGATCTAGGAAGAAGCAAATCTTATATTGTTGTGACGAAGTTTCATCTTCAGTGCTTTCATGTGTTTGTGAGGACTCAAATATCTCAGCATGTGCCTCTAACAACATGATGGACAGATTATAAATGTCTTTTGAACCTCACTTTGTGGATGCTTTGCATGCAAATAATTCTCAAACAAATAAAGTTGGGGCAAAAGTGATGTTTCTATTGTATTTTTGTGTAAATTCTAGGTTTAATTAGTATATGGCATGACCCTTTCCCATTTGAAAATTGCAAGCTACAATTTAAGTTGGGTGCCACAAATGCCATCTTTACCAAAACAAGGAGACTCTTACCATTATTATCTTGACATATGGAAAGTCAGTTTTGTCAACATTACTGCAGATAAAAGGGTGTTTCCAGACTTGCCTTGCTGTATATTCAATACAATGGAACCTCGCTTAACGAGCACCTCTCATAACGAGTAATTCACATAATAAGCAAAACAAATTGTAAAAAAATGACTCAACAAGTGATGTTGCACATAATGAGTGACAAGAAGAAAAGCAGTCCCAAATTGTGCACATGCTACAACAGTCTGTGTTTAGCACTCGTTCCACTTGCATCTTAATGTCACTTGTGATCACACATTTTTCCAAACTTGTGTTCAGACTTATTACATATAAACATCAACAACCATAGCCCATTATATAATAAACACGCCAAATGATATGCCAAATTCTTGGGCTATGTAAAGGCTATAATTAAATATTATAAATTAATTAATTTGACTAGATGTAGGCAGTTATGCTGTCATCTTATATTAAATTTAATGACCAATTCCAAATTAAATTAAAATTTTTTCCCCTACAAATTGAATTCGCATTCCAGGTTGGTTCATTCCTTGCTAGAAGAAAAGATGATGATGATTTACACTCCTTAATGTATATTGTATAATTTTCTTTGAATAAACATTATACATAAAATATTTGAGTATTTTTTTTGGCATGGAATGCATTATCGTATTTTACATTAATTTATATGGGGAAAATTGTTTCGCTTAACGAGTGTTTTGCACTACCAGTAAGATTCTGGAACAAATTATGCTCATTATGCAAGGTTCCACTGTATATGTATATAATTTACTAATTGAAGTTAGAAATAATTATAAAAAATTGATTTTAATATATTCGAATTGTTAATTTGACTCTTAATAAATTTTACATTGTGTGTTCTAGGTGTAACAATAATAGTTGATTCATATTATTGGCAAAGAATTGTATGGCCTGAAGGAGAAGTATTTTGGTTCAATACAATATTAAACAAAAGTTCACAATGGGGTGTATCCTTTTACTATGATATAAATGACTTATATTTTAGAAAAATACAATATTTCCAAGAAAAAAAAAATTAAACTTATTTCAAAAATTTTTTGTTTTTTACAGAGTTATTTAAAATGATTCATTCACACCCACAAATCCATTTTCAAATGACTATATTTTTGAATTTAACAAATAAGAAGTAAATAGTGATAAATGAACTAAAGGATAATCTGTCTGTGTTTTGTCTATCACCTTTCGGTACCCTATATTATTTCCCATAGTTACACAAGCAATGTTTAAAAAATGGTTCAAATTTCTCCCATACATACTATGGAGTCAGTGATGGCAAACATGCACCAGCATGTTTGCCATCACCGTTACTGTTACTTCATAATAGTAACAATGTAGTTTTTGAGCTCATCCAGAGTTGTGGGCAACAATGGCACATAAAAAGCATCCTTAATATACCCCAAAAGAAATTGCATGACATAAGATTCTTTAACCCAGCTGTATACTATGTGATCAGGTCCACTACAATTACTCCAACAGTCAAGGAGCTACTTTATTGAAAAAAATAGCAAACATTCAAATACCAATGAGGTGACATACCATCTTGTTGAAAACTCTGAGATTTTCTGTTTTATTTAGTATATATATAATTAATATATGATTAATAGATACAGAATTATCTTTATTTGAAATTGAATGAATCATTTTTAACAACTCTGTAAGCTAATAGAGTGAGTCTATAAAAACATCAAAATTTAATTTAGAAACAAATTATAATAGATCAACAATGCATATATACTCAGTATTGAATTTATACCTGCCATTACATAAGTCATTTTATATAAATTTTAGATATGCAGTAATTTATGTATAGGCATTTAACCTGAAAAAGTGAAATATCTTCAAAATGAATCATTGCAGAGTAAAATTTTTCAAATAAAATTTGTTTGTTATGAAAGCAGAAGGTTTATTTAATTTTTATTTTGAGCACATTTTTAAGGTTATATCAAGATCAACTTGTTATTTTCAAATGAAAACCAATATTTTTTATAGCAAATCTATACAAAATAACAAAACTTTTGCCTGAAAGATTTTTCTGTTTATTGCTTACTTTTGACAACATGTAAATTTTAAAAGAAGGCTAACATTTCTCTTTTCAAAGTAGAAATTAATACTTTTATTGCAATAAAAATTAAATTTTAATGAGTAAATTAACATAACAAGTTTTCAAAACAATGACCTTCAACCTTGATACATTTTTCAATATGTTCAAGAAAGATGGGTTACAAGCTAAAAGCATTTCTTTAGGCTAAAGTTATTTATTTCCTTTAGATTCAATTACCACTACAAAAAGTATAGGTTTTCATTTGAAAATAAGTTGATCTTTATATGACCTTAAAATTGTGCTCAAACTAAAAATTAAAAATAAATCTGTTAACCTTCTGCCTTCATAACAAACATTTTACTTTAAATATTTTCCTCTGCAATGCTTCATTTTGGAGATATTTTACTTTTTCAGGTTAAATGCCTCACCCTATATTTAACCTGCTGCTTCACTTATTGCTTAATACTTGATTCAAATTTCACAACTTAATTTTTGGAGGCACTATGTTATTTTAATTAATAATTAATTTTTTTATTTTTTTTTATCTACCATCTCACTCACTCTCTGTAAAGCTCCATAATGCTGTTGCTTATAACCAAATTACATATCTTTGATCCTAAATTGTCTAAGGGAAATTTAAAATTTTGGAATGGTTTAGTTTCGAAATTCAAATTTGAAAGTTTTACAGTTGATTTGAAAGTTACAGTTTTACATTTGATAGCCAATTAAAAACATACTTTCAATTTCCAATGGGCAGGAATCCAACAAAATCTGTTAGAAATCATTTGACTGTTGTTAATAAATAAGAAATAAAATTTTAAATTTAAATTATTAGTTTTTTATTATTATAAATGTAATTTCTGTTAAATTAATTTTTTTTCTACTTTTCATATTCTTTTTGGTGAATTAGACAAGAAAAGTTATAGCAAAATCTGAGAAATTGTTGCCATTTTAAAAAAGTACTCATAGCTTAATCCTACACGTTTAACAAACAACACCAGTCAATTTAAAGACCCTAAAATTACATAATATTTTTGTAAACACTTCCATTCCCTTGTAATGCATCATAATGGGACAGCCAGAGCAAGGCAAGGCAAGTGCCAAAACATGAATTTTATTAAAAACTACCATATTAGCAAAGTACTCTAAAGCAAAGTGAGGTATGCCTGTACTTATTTATTATTCACTGTCAATTATTATTCTTTAAGTACAATCTGTTTTAATAATTATTGTAAAAATCAAATTATGTTTTATAATAATTTATATAAAATAAATTTCTTTAATATAAAATAGACATCACCATGGTCATGGTATTTTTATTCTGCATTACCTCGTGCTTTGGGTTGTTCTTTTCTTTTAATTCCTTTGGGTTTTGTGATAGACAGAAGGATTAGAATTCTTATGTTCCCAGCAATAGGTTTTGTTTTACTTTTATCTTTTCTACCACATAAAGAACTTCGTTTCATCATGTATGTATTTCCACTAATGAATACAGCAGCTGCAAGGACTTGTTCATATTTGTAAGTGTACTGAAATATTCAATTTTTTAAATTTTATTTTTTAACATTAAATTTATTTTTAACATAATAATATTAGCTAAAATTTTATTAAATAGTTTATTATCATTTATAATGCTAATTTATTTATATAATATATCATAACCAAGGGATAATTTCTTGTAAAACAATAGTGCAATTTAAAGGAAATTTTAGCATGTTCTAGGATCTTCTCTTGGGCCCTTAGTCTTTAGTTTTTCGTGTTACAACTCCCAATGTGTTGAAGGTGTCACGTGGTACCATCTCACACTCTGACATCAAATTGATAGTCTCGAGTTATAACTCGCGTGTTTTCCCATCTCACCATGTGAGTTCCTACTCACTTTGAGTCAATCATGTGAGATCTCTACATGAAAGTGAAAGTGGCTGTTGGATATGCCATTCTGATCGCAATCAAAGCATTGGAAAACACTGAAAGACGTTGTTTAAGAAGGCAATGAATTTTTCAACCACGAGTAGATGCCATTTCTTTTTATGTCAAGTCAACACTAATAAAAAAAAATTTAATTCATAATTGATGAAATTATACATCAAATTTTTCCAAAAATAAAAAGAAGTATCTAATTCATCGAAAAAGAGAATTAAAATGATAGTAAATTATATGTATAAATTATTAAGAGCATAGACACTATATTAAGATTATTTATTAATCAGAAGTGTTATGTTCTGATTAATAAATAATCTTAATAGATAAAACAATTTAAGAAATAGATCAAGGAAGAAAACTATATGAAGAAAGGAATAAATTAAAATACTTTTTCAATTACACAATGGATTTTTTAGCTACAACACAGGCAATTAATTTTTCAATTAATTCTCTCCACAAATCAAATTGTCTTTTCCTTGTAAGTTCATTGTCAAATTTTCCACTGTTCATTTTCTTATTATTTTCTATATATGTTACTAATATTTCTTTTTGTTCTTTTCACTTACTTTTTAAAATAAAACATCAGAGGTTTCCATTTTGTTTCTGTATACTATATTGCTATAAGACAAAATTTTTAAGTGTAACATGTGTAAACTAATTCACATTGATTTGTTTACAACTAGTTACACTGAAGTTAATTGGTTGAATCATTATAGTCGCAAACCCAGATGCATTGTAAATAATCCCATCGTGCTTAACAACATGTGACCAAGTGGGTATGACGTATTTCCTCTTGCTTTTCGAGTTCACTCAATGGGTCTAACTTGAGACTACCAATTATGTGAGTCATAGTAACATGAGTGAGTTGAATGACGTCAATTTGAGTACAACATGAAAAGCTTGAGACTAAGGGCCTTGTATGAACATGCAGTGATATGGGCAGGCATGAAGACAAACAGGCCATCTTGCAACAGATTTTCTCACAGATGTTTCAATTACTGCTCCAGATTTCTTATGCTTGTACTTGGCCAAAACTGGTGTCCCAGCTGATCCCATAAATACTTGATGGGTGATCTTCAGGCTGGGCAGGCTGAGGAAGTGTGCCAAGGAGATATTCCTAGAAAAATCTAGCTGTGTGCAATCAAGCATTATCTTGCTGGAAAAATGGTGTTTACAGCCCTGCCATGAAAGGCAATACATGACTGTGGAGGATTTCCTGAATATACCAGTATGTTGTCAATGTCTTTCACACCACTACTACAGATGATTGAAGATATGAGATGACTTCCAGACCAGCATGCCAACAATGGGGGCAGTGTGCTGGTCATCAATAAAGGAGGAACTGAAGTGTTTATCAATGGACCTCTGTAACTGGATGCCTACAACTTGGAAGTCATCTATTCCTAAACAGAACCAGGATTTGTCACTAAATGTGATATACTACCAGTCCTTAGCAGTTTGTGCTTCTTTATCACAACCACACTGGGGTGCTAATGGAAACTATTTTGTGCATGCAAATTTGCCTCTGTTCTCCTGCCAATGATATTGGAATAGACAAGATTTTGTAACAAGGCTTCCACCTGTCAAGTGTCATTGTCCACCTTGGATGGTGGACAATGACACTTGCAGCTGTTTATGCTTGTTTCATGATCAGATAGTCATCTCTACTGGTAGGCTGAAGTGTATAGAGCCTGCTTTGCCATTTGTGAGTGTTCTCATGTATCCACAAGCTCAATGCATTCTCACAATTGGATCAAAATAGTCCAGATGACAGGCAGTTTGGTGAAACAGCCATCCTGCTCCCTCAATTTGATGTAGCCTTTCTCAAATTTTGTCTGCTGTATGTAATGTTTTTGACTATGTTGTACAGATATGGCATTTGAAAACCTACAAACAACAGATATACTGAAAATTGTGAACACAGTGAGAAGCCCCTGCAAACCTTTTTATCCTATAAAAAGGTTCTCAGTATACTGGGGTAGTTATTTTAAGACACCTTTGGTCATATTACATTTGTGGCCTGATTGCACAAACCAGGTAATCATTTAAATACCTGTATGAGACATAACTGTATGCAAAGTTTTACTGTAAGACTGTCTGATCTGGATTGTACCAACTCTTTATGAGCTCTATTTGAGTCCTGTTACAGAATTGTACTCTCTGTTATTGGCATACATGTCTTTAGCTAATGTAGTCCAAAGGTTCTCCATTGGATTAAGATCAGGACTTCTGGTTGGCCACTCTAATAGTTTCATATGGTAACAATCAAATCATGCTATTGTCAAACACAGCTAATGGATGGATGCAAAATCCTGCTGAAATGCCTAATTAAATTCCCAGTAACTTGACTGGTAACAATTATTCTCAAGTATATTTTGGTAGTTTTGTGCAGTCTTGTTCTGTCACAAAAGCAGTTGCTGATGTTCCATTGAATCCAAAGCAACTTCACACCATTACTGAGCCAGCACCTGTTGTCAGCTGAAAAATATGCACGTTTTCTGTTCTTAAATTATGCCAGTATGACAACCACCTATCAGGACTGATGTTTCTTCATCACTTTAAAGTACTTGAAACACAAGCATCTGTCCATTGCTTGTGTTTCTTTGTTAATGGTGGATTTTTTTTCTATCATTATTGCATATATGATGTGAGGACCAGCTTACTAGTCACCTGTGGATATGCTTCTAGAAATAATAATCTTAAATTCTTACTGTATTTTTCAGACAGATTTTACAATGATGCAATTTCAGGCACAGAACATCAAACTCTTAAGTTTCCATATTAAAACCACTTTATTTACTGAGATCTGTTTTATATATGTAACTATTACTGTAGTTATTTAATTTTCATAATCACATGAGTTATAACTCCTATGATTATGCAAATTAGATTGTTCTCAATAAATTGTTTTTATTTACTTGATATTAAGTAGTCTAGATATATATTTTTGACACAATAGCTTAGGCAGAATATTTTCAGTTTTTTGTCTTAAATTTTCAAAACTGAATAAACTTTTGGGTGAATATAATCTGAATGTTTTTAAATAGATTTATTTCACATTATAATTATCAGATTTTTTAATTTCATGTTATTTGATTTTAACAGATTCATCATCTGTCTATAAACTTGAGACACATTGTATAAGAATATATATTGGATTACAGTAGAGCGTCGATTTTCCAAAAGTCAATCATCCGAAGCGTCAATCATCCGAAAGATTTCCAGTCGGCAAATTTAAATTTTTGCCAGTGCTGTGGTGCTTCAATCTTTGGCTATGTCTTGGGCTACTCAAATATTTTACGTTTTTGATACTAAATTAACATCTGAAGTATAATTTTTTATTGTTTTTATATTTTTCAATATATTTATTTTGTTTGTACAAAATAAAAAAATAATTTTTAACTATACAATAGTCTTTGTTAGGCTTAACATCAACGAAAATCCAATGCGAAGCGACACGAAACGGAGAAAAATTTCAACATCGGATATGTTAAACTATTTTTTCGTACATAAATCGGTTATCCGAAATATCAGTTATACGAACAACCCCAGTCCCCAATTGATTCGGAAAATCGACGCTCTACTGTATTTGCATATCTAAAAAAATTAAAAACATATTTATGAATATTTAAAATAATGAAGTTTATTTGATTTTAATATAAAATATATCTTTCTTTAGGTGGCATCATAGATTAAAATCTCTCTTACATGTGTTCTTAATAATATGTACTTGTCTTCATTTAGTTGTAAATTTATTTACAACTGGTCTTATTTTGTACATATCATCATATAATTATCCAGGTGGTTTTGCAATATCTAGACTACATCAATTGGAAAACAGTTATGAAGGTAATATATAAAATTAAGCTACAAATTTATCGCTTGTCCCATAAGTAATGTCATTTTTCAATTTAATATATATTATCCATCAGAATTAATAACATTCAGCTACTCACTTAAAAGCTGTTTACTGCCTAAATAAGGCAGTGAACAGCTTTTAGGTGAATAGCTGAATGTTCAAAGTGAAAATTCAGATTGTTTTGAAAGAAAGATGAAAATACTTGGTTTTCAGGTTCTGTAAAAAGTTATTTTATTACTTGCTAGGATAATTTTTCAGATTCCTAGATAGGTGATAATCTGAAGATGCTGGATCAAGAGAATATGGAGGATGAACATTTTTTCATTTAAGCTCCAAGTTTTGTAGAAGTGATTTAGGTGTACATTGCTATGGTAGAATATGATTCTTTTCTAGTTAATCGATGAAGACTTTTTCTTTTAATGCAGTATTCATGGAATCTAGTTATTTGCATAGTTTTGGAGATTTGGATAGTGATTACATGGTTTTGTAGTAAAACTTTAGTGTATCATATAAACTTTATCCTATCATATACTGAGCAAAACATTTTAGAGTAAATATTTAGAATTTGGCTGTGGCTTAGCTGGTTCTACATGATTCCAATATTGGCTGGATTTAAAACTTTCATCATTGTCATTAAACAGTGCAAAAATAGATCTTGAAATTCATGAGTGAAGAGTTGTGCAAGTATTTAAATGTTTTCTTATATTGTCAGTTGACAATTCCTACAGCATTAGACTTTCTTAATTTAAATACTTTATCAAATTGTAAATATTAATAGATGGTGAAAGATTATGAATTGTGTTTGGATAAATTTTTCATCAGTTGTATAATAATCCTTTTAAAGTTCTGTTAATAACAGAACATTATCAATTGCAATAAGACATCTAGATCATGTATTTATCACGACATAATCTAGTAGTGCAGTTACACTCTCCAAAGCTTGATATTTGTAACTATCTTTGATATTTTTTCACATACAAACTATGTTTACCTTAAATTTCTTGAATATTTTATGCAATTTCAGTAGCACTATTGTATTTTCTTTTTTATATTCATAAAGTATATGACTAATATGCTTTTCTGATACTTCTTTGTTTATGCAGGATTCATCTTAAGCAAAAATATTTATTTTCACTATTCAATGTCTATTAAGAATATAAATATCTTATACAGTATATAATTCCATAAAACTTGACAACAATTGTTTTTCTTGTTTTTCAACAAGAGAACATGTTTAAGCTAATGGGAATATGAAAATAGCATTAGTTATGGGATGATCTGATATAAATAATTTTAATTGATTTTATATATATAAGATTCTTATTAAAAAATGAAAATCTTAAATTAATCTAATAGGAAATTAGTTTATTATTAGCTAAACATATTCAAACTGTTTTTGAAATTATTAATTATAATAAATATAAACATATTAATACAGTAGAACCTCGAAAACTCGGCCTAATGTGGACCGAAGGGTGGCCGAGTTTGTGAAAATGCCGGGTTATCGGGAATGGGGTTAAAAAAAATAAGTACGAGTGTTTCCTCAGAAAATACTGTACTGTACTTGTATGTATTGTTTACTTGAGAATATAACAGAGAATAAACTGCTCAAATACCCTTAAACAAAGGAAAAGTACGTCCTTTATGAAGGCATAGAGCCTACATGAAAATGAAAATTAATGAATACACTGTGTACAGTAATTTACCTGATAAGACAGACCTCAGAAAAATACTTTATGAGAGCTTTTATACTTTTATAAAGCTGTCTATAATGAAAATTAATAAACTAAGGATTTTTTTGCCCTGCCAGGGAGTGGCCGAGTTATCCGGAGTGCCGGGTTATCGAGAGCTGAGTTTTCGAGGTTCTACTGTATTAGTTTTTTAATTATTTGTTATTGAAGAAATTATCACTATTATAAAGCATGAAATTTCTCAATAAATTAGTATTTTTTATTAAATTGCTATTTTCTAAATTCAATTTTTCCTTTTAATAGTAATTTAGTTGGTTAAGTTGAGTTAATAATAAGGAAAAAGTATAAGTAATATATCCATTGATATACACACATCCAAAACTTAAGGATGGATGACATTTGTATATGAACACAGGGTAATACACAACAACATGTAAAATTGCAAATCAAAGCAATAAAAATAAGTCTTTGGTGAAAAAAAATACATACAGTATTCAACATAGGTGGAGAATGGATGGAAAGTGTTTATCCAGGCAAGAGACCTGTTAGTATGGAATGTGTCCTCCTGAAACTGCAATGCAGCATTCACAATGGCATGGCAGGCTCATCACCAAGACTTTTTCTGGCTGTCACCACTAGCCAATTGTGTTTTGGCCATAAGTTTTGGACATGTCTGTAGTTACTTTGTTTTATTGCTTTCAGGTAGCATGTTATACTATTGTAGATTACATATCACCGATTTTTTTATTATATACATCATATATTTTTGTAAACTAAAAGAAAATACAAATATTTTCAATTACATATTTCTTAGTTTTGCAAGTAATTTTCATTACAATGATCCAATTTGTTTTACTTTTAACTTTGTGATAATTTACATTTTTTTATTTTAGTATAAGAATCCTTTTTACTGTTATTACAAATTATTCTAAGCAATCATCTCATCTTCAAAATGCATTGAAAATATCTGAATGTATTAGTGTGTTTGCTATTAAAAAGATTTTGTTGGAAAATTAACATGTTAATATATGTTGAATCATAAATATCATTAAGAATTTAATTTAATGCTCTAAATAGCCATCTAAATAAAATAATAATAATAATGGGAAATTTAAAATTTTGGAATGGTTTAGTTTCGAAATTCAAATTTGAAAGTTTTACAGTTGATTTGAAAGTTACAGTTTTACATTTGATAGCCAATTAAAAACATACTTTCAATTTCCAATGGGCAGGAATCCAACAAAATCTGTTAGAAATCATTTGACTGTTGTTAATAAATAAGAAATAAAATTTTAAATTTAAATTATTAGTTTTTTATTATTATAAATGTAATTTCTGTTAAATTAATTTTTTTTCTACTTTTCATATTCTTTTTGGTGAATTAGACAAGAAAAGTTATAGCAAAATCTGAGAAATTGTTGCCATTTTAAAAAAGTACTCATAGCTTAATCCTACACGTTTAACAAACAACACCAGTCAATTTAAAGACCCTAAAATTACATAATATTTTTGNAAATAAAATGGTCAGTAAAATGCTTTTCAGTTTAGAACATTTTTATAATTTTATCATCACTTTATTTTCTGATTTTTTTTCTAATTTAATCTTAAATGTACTTTTATCATTTTGTTATACAATAGATGAGAAACTCATCTTAAATAAAAGATAGATAAAAAATGTAAAATTCATAAAATATATTTTCTTTTAATTAATTATTCATTTTATTATATATACAATATGATGTTTTAACAAATGTAATGAACCAATGGATAAAAAGACAATTAAATGATATTTAATATTTTTATCTTAAACTCTATGGCAGTTTATGTTGCTTATCATTAAGCTTAACATTATTTTTTCACCATAGTTTTCTCTTCCACATCCTCAGTTTTATTTTTCTGGCAATTTTGTAGAATATAACCACACAAGTAAATAATGTCTAATATCATAAAATTTTAATTTTGTTTAATTTATGAGATTTATCAATAAAACTTGTTGTTCATTCATTTCAATGAAATATAATACAATACAATGAACGTTATTGCTAATTTATTATGTGAAGAGAAGGGAACAGTTAACAATTCAGGGATTGATCAAATGATCCAAATCCTAAACTGCAACCCTCTTCTTAATGTTATAAATTAAGAGAAATTAAGAATTGTAAATTATTATCAAATAGAATTTATTAAAACATAAACATGAAGGAATTATATATCGTGAAGCCTCTATACACAAAGAAAGCAATATATTTTCTTTTGTATATTGTATTTTTGGTATTTTTGTATTTACAATACATTTACAAAGAGCTGCTTTTAATTATTTGAAAACTATTATTTGATAGAAAAATATTAAGATATTTTAAAAATAAGGTATCGATCTAAATGATTATAGAAACTATATTGTTTTCAACAACAATAAATAATTTATTTAATAGCTGTTTTATATGAAAAAGTATTTCAAGATTGCAAATGCAATATTAAAATTTATTAGAAAATATTCTCCTAAAGAATAAATATTCAAGATTTGGTGGACAAATTGCAGAGATGGTAAAAGCATCAGTCTATTGCTCTGAGAGCATTGAGATTGAATCAAGACAGGTAAAGAATGCCAGAAATTTTTCATGAGTGGTCTGTCCAGGTTAAAATAGGTTCCATCCCACATCATGTGGACAAGACCAAAATGAATATGACTAAAAAGCCCTCTTAATACCTACAGGGCAGAAAGAGTGAAAAATGAAAACAAAAATAAAATATTCGAGATAATACATTAAATTTGATATTTTAAAAACCTATAGAGTGAATAATATGAATAAATATTTAGATTGTGTGATTTATAGAAATTTTTTTCCTAAAGTTAAATTTGATCAGATGATTTTAATCATTTTTATATTAATAACAGAACAAATTTATAACAAAAACATCACAAAAAAATATTTCAAGCTGTAATAGTTCTACTGGTAGTAAAACATCTATACAATCCTACATATACATTTTATTTTAATATATGATTGAAAAATAAATCTTAAAATATTTTATGTTTTTGCTTTTTATTTGATAAGAGAATATTATTAATATTTAAATTTAATTTAGGTATAATAAGACAGAAGGTCTGACGCCAGGAGGTGCCGATATGCTGAAATTCACTCATCTTCTTCTCGATGCCCGTTCTGCATTTAGTAGTTCTTTCGTGTTATATGAAGAAACACACGAGATTGTAGAAGTGATTTCTGCATACAGTACTTTTTCAGTAAACTATCTAAGTTTTCCACCCATTAGAGTTCGGACTAAGTCAAACATCCTCATTCTGAGAAAAAAGAACATACCAACTCAAGTGATTATCGAAACCAAATCATTCGCAATATGAATAAACTCACATAAGGACATTTTCTAATACAGTCTTCAAATAGTAAATGTGTTTTTGAAATAATGTACCACAAATCAAATTGTATTTTCTACATCAGGTTAATATTATTAGAAAATCAAAATTATAATGTATTTTCTATCAGAATTTTTATTTCTTTAGATTTCAAAGAAAATATTGTAATGTAAATTTCTATTGAAGTATAAACATAATAAAATGTTTGAAAATAAAATAATCAGTAATAAAAATTTACTAGTTATATTAATTTTACTTTTTTCTTGTTTAAAAGGTGTGTTTAAATATGAAATATTGTAATTTGTTTGCATATTTTAAAATAACCTAAAAGTAAATACGAGTTTGATTAATAAAATAAATGAATTGTACAGTACATACATTTACAATGTATGTTCACAAGAGGTGCCCTCTTTTAATGTTTCTAAATTCTGATCAGTTATAAAAAGTTGAAATTAATAGTAAGATTAATTTACAATGAAGCTATATTGAAAGATTTAAAATAAAAATATTTTTAACATGTCTGTATCATCTGCATTCTCACTAAAGGAGCTGTACATTTCTACCTACATGTAGCTGCATTTTCTGTTTTGGTCATGTTACTTATAATGCATTTCTATGCATTTTAAGTTTGTATCTCAGACTATTTATTGTTGAACTAATTGATAAAATTGCTCTCGAGTTCAATGGTGTTTGAACGTTATCAAATAAAGTCTTCATTTGATTTAAATTTTATTATACACTGAACAATTACTGCATTAGGAACACCATGTCAGCACCATCTCAGAAATGGTAAAGGGATATCCTGTAATTGTTATGTCACAATTTGCTGGCCAGTCATGGGCAAATGAGGTAACTTTGAGCACAGGCAGATTGTTGGTCTACAGGATGAGTACCAGTATTTCTGAAACAGCTGCATTAGTTGGTTGTTCTCATACTACAGTGTCCAGGGTGTACCATGAGTGGAAGGATCATGTGCAAACATCCAGAATATCATACAGTGACCTGCCACATGTGGTTGATCCCAGGTGTGTGTCACATATCAAGACCGGTATCTGAACAAAAATGTGCCATGGCAGAACAGCTTATCCACCAGTACAACAGCTTATCCACCAGTACAACACAAGCTTATCAACCAGTACAAGGCAGATGTGTTTCAACAATAACCATGCCTGCATCAGCTGAGATTCAATAGCCATCAACCTGCACAGGTGACTCTGTTTACCATGCTTCATTACAAACATCTTGCATGGGTGAGAGAAAGCCATATTGGACCTAGGACTTGTGGAAGAAGATCGTCTACAGCAGTGGTTCTTAAGAACCATTGGTCTAGAGCAGTGATTCCCAACCTGTGGTATGCATACCCCTAGGGGTACAGAAAAAAGTTAGTTATTATGGCAGAAAAAATAATATATTATGTATCACAAACTAATAGTATTAACAAATTATTAGGTAAAATATGTTCCTTGCAACAATCACAACTTTATTATACATTTTTTCATTTACTTTTTTTTCTTTAATTTAAAGTTACGATATGTAAAATTTACAATACGGGTACTCACTAAATTTCTTAAATGAGGGGTACAATCTAGAGATATGACATGTCACGGGGTATGCTAATGAAAAAAGGTTGGGAACCACTGGTCTAGAGAGATTAGTCTTGTTTCATACTGAACCACACTGATGGTAGTGATATTATGATCTGGGGAGTGTTGTTCTCTTGGAAAGGCTAGGGCCATTGCTCGTCATTCCACAATGATGAACAATACAGGGACCTGTTAGATGATCATTCACACCCGTATCTCCAGGCTATGTTTCTTGACAAAGATGCCCTGTTTCAACATGATAACGCGCATGCACCAGGAGTGGCTCACTTGGGAATGGTTAGAGGAATATGACAATGAATTCTACACACTGCCTTAGTCACCAGACTGCAAGCCTATTAAACACAATTGGGATATACTGAAAAGTGTGGTGAGGTTGTCATACACTCCTCCGCAAAATATGCACGAACTGACAAAACTGCTCGAGTAAGCGTGGGTCGATTTAAGAGTAGAGGATGTTCGGCATCTTGTAAATTCGCTTGCAAGTAGTGATCACCCAGAAAGATGGACCCACCCATTATTGGACAGGTGTTCCTAATGTAATGATCGTTTAGTGTATTACAGTATTAGTTTGGGTTTTTAATGTTAGTTTTTCAAACCATTTTAAAAAAATTTAGCAACGAGGTCCCTTAACTTTCCCGGCAACAATTAAAACTGCGTGTGTTACGTTATCTGTTGTTATATTTTATTATTTTTAATAATTATAAAATGGCAAAAAACCTAATTTTGAGGGTAGGGCTGGTTTTATATAAAAATGGTAAGTGCTAATAACGAGTAAAATGGTCATTAAGTCCGATCCTACTGGAGATACACACGACCCCTTTTATCTCCCCATCCCTCGACGTTTAATTACCGAAATTTAACAGCATCAATCCCTTAAGGAGCAAGTCTCCTTGCTAAATTTCAGAAGTTTTTGACAAAAAGCACAGGAGTTGTTAAGCTCAAAGACAGTGAACAGAACGTGCCCGCACATACATACAAAACCGAATTTTTTGCATTTCTCGACGTTTCAAGGTGTCCTGAGCTCAAAATGTAAAAATCTTGGGAGAGGGGTCATTTTTTGACCGATCGCCATACTTTCTCTCTGTTATTTATAACAGCCGGGAAAGTAAAAATGTATACTGTAACTCGACTGGTTTATTCTATCAAGTTATTTTTAAAAATAATCAAAAAACGTTAATATTGGGAGTGGGATAATTTTCGAAATAAATAGATATATTTTTTAGTAAACTAAACATTTATACGAGTTTAAAAACTTTCATAATTTGGAAGCTTTTTGAGACTTTTTGGCCCTTATCCCTTAATTAATATCTCCCGAACCGATGATCCGACTTTCCTGAAAATTTCTAAAAGCATTTCCTACTAATAGACAAATTTTCCTGCAGAATTTTGAAATTTTCTACAAAAGACACAGGAGTTAAGCTTGAAAATGGGTTGAAAAAAAGCATGCCTCCACACTATCATCATTATATAAAGGGGAAAAAATCCCCATACTTTCCCTCTTTTATACCGTATAACAGTCGGGAAAGTAATATTAAATAACAAATGTTAGAAAATTATTATAAATTGAATTGCTCATTTATGAAAAAAATCTTTTTCAGTTCTATCATCGTAAATTTTTCGTTTACTTTGAAAAAGATTTTCAAAGTGTGTATTTTATATAAAGACTGGACATGAACGGCTCTTTCCATTCTTCCGATTTATAAGTATGGATTTTTATGTTTGTGAACAATTGATTCGTTTAAATTAACGAAAAATATTTTCATCGCTTAGAATTTTATTTACATTCTACTTCACAAAAGTTTTCGTGAATAATAGTAAGCTAAATTATCTCAAAACGTAGTCATAGATCTCTTCAAACTTTCATTTCTGAAAAAGAAATTATTAGTTTGCTTTTTATGTATATTGATATAAAAACAAAAAATTAATACGCTTACACATTATGTAGAAAGATAGCGAGAGGAATGCTGAAGGACTCGTGTTGAGGAGGATCCGGATCAAATTCTAAATCACTCAAATGCTTGAAAGCTAAAAATATAGAATAACATTTATTTAATACTGGGACCAAATTTCTGAGTCTAATATAGGACAAGTGTGGAAAGAGGAAAACAAAAATGCAATATTGTCGTCCAAAAGTCATAAAAAAACACCTACCATTGTAGTGGCCCAACTGCCTGTTTGCGAAAAAATGGTTGTCTATTAGCTTTCGTTCAAAATTCAGTTTAAAAAAATTAGATTTACTGTTTTATTTCTGTCTTTTTATGTCGTTGTTATCATAATAAACTATTAAAGTTAACATTTCGAAATACAACTTTATATATTTTGAAAGTTGTATGCCATATATTAAAAATTATTTATTGTGACATCCTCACAATAAATAATTTAAGGTCTACAATTTTTTCAAATTGCAGACCAATTAACTATACAGTTGCGGATCGGCCATTTGGTGGGCCCCAAACGCAATCTGCTTTTGAGGCCTCCTTGTTCTAAATATTGATACTAAGTAATACTATCAAATCAATTTATAACTTAATTAATAAAAAATATCCAGCAAGGAGTTACAAAAGTTTCAAAGTTAAAATTGCGTGTAGCGCCATCTGTTATGAGATTTTATATTATTAATTATTATCAAGTAAATTTTTATTAAGTTCCATCCCACTCGAGATATGACACATGACCACCTCCTTTATCTCCCTTTGACCACCAAAACTTAATAGCGTCAATCCTCCTAATACAAAAACCTCCCTGCAAAATTTCGGGAAATTTTGACAAAAGACACAAGAGATATTAATATTCGATGGTATAATTCTAATAATCGGCTAAAAATGCAGTGAATTTTGTTGTTTCGAATGGCTCCTTGCTGTTAATTGTAATAATCAGTATTCACGATAATATAGTGTTTATTGTATACTAGCAGGTTGACTGAGGAAAAATAAGCACAAACATTAAGATTATTACATTATTTCGTACTTCTACCCCTTATATTATATTATAATATTTGATTTATATAACTACAAAGGTTATCTTACATAAAGGTGTATCACACCAAGCAACCACTCTAAACATTTTAAAAATCATTTAAATTGTGTACAGTAAAGGAAAAAATATTTAAACGTATTATAAGTAAAATTTCTTTTAAAAATTTCATCAATACTCTTATAATTTTATATCAGACCTACTAATTTTTTAAATCCATTGTTAACTCTTTTTATTCTTTGGATATTATGAAGGTCCCTTTTTTTCCATATATCTATCGAGGGTTCGGCAAAGCATACAATGGCCACTAAGTGCTTAGTGCACTTAGTGGTCATTGGCACCATCCACGAAAAATTCCTGGGGAGTTGCTCGCTTGGATTCGATTCCGGCTTCCCTAGAGTGGTAGGATGATATCTTAACGACTCGATCATCTAGCTATTTAACTCTTAAATGACTTTGTTAGCTAGAATGATAAAGATTTTACGCATAAAAAATGGCTCACCAGTGGCAGAGTAGATTAAACTACTGAACACTAATAATTTGACACGAGTTCGCCCTCACCAACGGGTTGGCCACGTGGAATTTTCTTCATTTGTTTCACGTGTCTAACAGCCAGTTTTCCTTAGAAAGTCCACTGGGGAGGAATCCCCCTTGGCAGATTGCCCATGTGTTGCGTTGCCGAATCCCATTAAACTAAACCAAACCAAACGTGTATAATGTCATAATCTTCGTATTTATTTATTTATTACTTTATGTATACACACTTACTTATAGCCTTGTAGTAAAGGTATTAATTAATTAAACTTATATAGAAAGGATTCACGAAAATATCTCGCACAATTTTAATCTGAATCTTATAATTTACTATAACATATCTTAAACTTCTTATTGTTATATAATTTACATAAAAAATTTAATTATATATTTAATTTCTTCTGCAGAAAAGTTCATTATTAGAAATTAGAAATGAATTAAGCGTACTTTAGACGAAATAAAAATAGTTAGAAAGGAATTAAATGATTTAAGAACAGAAAAAGAAAATATGCAAAATAATGTCGCAGAACAGAAAAAATCAGTAAAATTTATGAACGAAATAACATTAAAACTTAAAGAAGAAGAGGAGAAATTAAATCAAAATAAAATTTCAAAAGAAATAATTCAATCAGAAATTTAAAAATGCGAGAATTATCAAATATAAAAAAAACATAATTTACATGAAATCAATGAAACTACAAGAAAAAATAATACAGTAATTTAATCCAACATTATTTGCAGATGTTATTATTAGGATTTCTAAGGGAACAATAGATCTATTTATAAAAATAAAGATGCAAAATGATGTCGCGGAAGAACGGAAAAAATCAGAAAAATTTATGAACGAAATAACATTAAAACTTAAAGAAGAAGAAGAGAAATTAAATCAAAATAAAATTTCAAAAGAAATAATTCAATCAGAAATTTAAAAATGCGAGAATTATCAAATATAAAAAAAACATAATTTACATGAAATCAATGAAACTACAAGAAAAAATAATACAGTAATTTAATTGAAGAAATAAATAATTTTAAAAATTCTTGGATTCCAATAACAAAACGTAATTAGATATAAATATTAAAGTCAAAATAGAGGACATGTCTTCATTTTGGATACTATACGAAAACCCTATTTATAATACTTTTATATGAACCATAGATATATCAAGTTGCCAGATAGAAAGAAAAATTGTTTCTTCCAGGCCCATCAGGTCCAAACGCACGAGAAACGGCCCTATCATGGCGCTTTCCACTATGATAGGGCCCTTTTCTCATAGCGCCATAAAAAATGAAATCATCAAGTTGTATTTTATATAATTTATATTGAATATATCTACAGTTTATATATTATTTGTGAAAATAATCCAAGTAGTAATTACAAATATTAAACTTAAAATATTTATATTTTTTAAAATATTTATATTTTTTAAAATATTCTATTCCTTTTCAAAATCTCTCTGTATTCAGACACGTCCGCGATGTTTTCTTTCTCAAAATCATTTGTCTATATTCGTAATTTTTTATCTGTTAAGACTAATGAAGATTAACGATTCGTAATTGTTTTGTATTATTGTCTCTTTATAGTTGTGGACTCGAAATTGGGAATTACGTATCACGATAACGCAATTTTTATAACTGATTGATTGTTTAGTGGGATAAGGCAAGAGAACATGAGAGCAATCTGCTGAAGGGGTTCCTTCCGGGAAGACTTTCTATGAGAAACTGTTCCTTGTTTTGGGAAGAAAACCCGGAAAAGTATACGCCACTGATGGGCTAATTTATATTAGGAATAATGATGAAACGATAAGTAAACGAAAAATATGGATAAGTTTTTGTGCTGCAATTTGAAAAAATTGTAGACCTGTAAATTCCCACTGTCGTCCGTCCGTTTGTCTGTCTTTTCTCAATTTCGAGAACAGAGTTAGATAGATTAAACATGAGACCAGATATGGAAACCTTAGGGGCAGGAGGTCCGATTAACTATATGCGAACTTCTGATGCAAACCGAAAGCCACATTATTCCAATCCAAAAAGTTTCCCTTGAAAGGTGTTAGACCGGCACGACTCTATTGTTAAAGAAAAAGTATAACGTACAGGAGCAAACACTACTAATAATTTGAGGTGGAGAGCATATATTTTAAATTAAAGAAATTTAAAATATGATTAAATTGTTGCCCGGCATTGTGGCATGTCACAATAAATAATTACTAGTTCATTTTTGACTCTTTCCATCCTTTGAGCAATAAAGGAGCCTTTTTTCCATACGGGCTTGATCGAGCACACAATGGACCCTCGACATAACTGGAACGGATTGTATGTACAGTACAGTACAGTACATGAAAAATTCTTGGGAAGTTATTGTTCGGATTTGATCCCAGATCTCCCAGAGCAATGGGCTGACTCCTTAATTGTCTTGGCCGTCTGGGTATAATAGGGGAATACCCCCTATTATACCTATTATACCCCTATTAATAGGTGGGTATAATGGAAAAAGTTATGACTTCACAACTTCTACATCTTTAAACTATTAAACTATTATTTATACACTATTATTTTTCTTCAATTATCTTCGTTTAAAAATATTAATATCAGGTAGTTATCGTTGGTCTTTTTAATTCTGATATTTCGTGCTTAGTTTATTTTTAACCTTCTCATCTAAATTATAAATATTTATTTTTAGTTTAAGAGGACTGTCTTAAACCAAACCAGATTGTAAGTTTGAATTAAGTCAAAAGAGAAATAAATTCAATAATTAAAATACTGACAAAGAATTATCGAAACAATATAATTTTTCGGGAGACATTGTTTTGCATTAAACATAGCTACAGCTTGGCTGCTTAAAAATACTTATTATTCAAAGAAATGGATGAAAAGAATAAAAACAAAAGGTGTGAGGATGAAAATGGAGTTTCTCGGCAAAGTGATAAGCCGATCTGTAATGTGGCAGCCCGAAATGTATGTAACCAGGCTAGAGATAGTAGTTCTTCCTTAACTACTTCTTCGTATGCAACTGAGAGTGGCACCCAGTCATCCAAAAGATTAAGCAGCCAACGTTCTTCTTTTGATATGCAAAATATTTGTGAAAATGAAACATCTAGCAGCGTTCCTATCGAAAAAAACATATCGCAAGATACATTAACAAATGCAACATGCATTGATTCTACAATAAGATCATCAAGTAAAATTCTTTCACCATGCGATAAAATGAAATCTGCATCATCTTCATATATGAAAGTTCCGTCTGATTCTGCTGATAAACCGCCAATTTGCGAAGATGTAAAGAGATCCGAATCTAATAAAAGTTATGATATTTCTCGGTCCTCGATGGGTTCTGAACTTTTAGAAAAATGTCTGGCTGGTTCTTCATTATCAAGTAAAATAATATCAGAAGAGACAGCGGATAGTAAAATATTCAGTTATGTAGAAGTATCAGATTCTTCGGTGATATCCGATTCAAGAACTTTTCAAATTCCATCATGTGTAGTTGATAAAACCCAAAATGTGACAACAAAAATGAAAACACCACCAAAGCTAGAATCACCATGTTATACTCCGCCAAAAGAAAAATCACTAATTCAAAAAGCAGAAACTCCATGCAGGACTCCCCCAAAGAGAGAATCACCTTGCTACACTCCTCCAAAAACAGAAACGTCATGCAGAACTCCTCCAAAGAGAGAATCACCTTGTCGCACACCCCTAAAAACAGAAACTCCATGTCGGACTCCTCGAAAGATAGATTCACCCTGCCGCACACCTCCAAGTAGGACTCCTTCAAAGGTAGATTCACCTTGCCGCACACCTCCAAAAACAGAAATACCATGCCGAACGCCTCCAAAGGTAGAAACACCATGCGGCACTCCTGAAGCAGTGGAAACACCATGCCATAGTATACAAAAGAGAGACTCGGGTTGCTACATTCCATCAAAAAAAGAAACACCATGTTCTACACAACAAAAACAAATATCTCAGCGTTCCCCTTCAGTTTCACCTTTCAGTTCAAGATCTGATTCAAAAGAAATATCGCCATGTGATGTTTCTGAAGAAGAAAGCAAACACTATATCGTTGATGAATCNATCCCTTCTTAGTGTACATTCTGTTGACGTACTCTATTAAAACGCAATCAAAAACGGAAAAAACTGCATCTAAAATGGTATAAATAGAAGCAGAGTTCTTTACGGTAACCTTTTCCGTAAGGCTTACCGTAAAGAACTGTCCATCCCCCATGTTTAACGGAATAATATATAGCCTATGTCCACCCTGAAGTTCCATTCTAAATATTGGTGAAAGAATTTTTGAAATCGGATGAGTAGTTTCGGAGATTACCTGCTGCATACAAACTAACATACATACATACAAACATTACCTCTATAATATAAGTATAGATATAAAACAATGATAACAATCTTATCATTGTTTTTCACATGTAGTAAAGAAATTTGTAATAAGATACATAAAATTAATATTTTATTATAATCGCATTAATTAATTCAAAGTACGTTAAAATATAAAAATAATTGTACTGTACAACATGTATATTAGAAAATACAAGGGAATCAGGCTATCACAGCTTCCATGGACGGCACGCCACTGATAGGTCCTATGGACTCCTATAGCACCTATTTCGCATATTTGAACCAGAAATAAAGTATTCTCCTATATAATAAGTTGTTATACATACGGTCACAGTAATTTCAAGTATATCTACAAGATTTACAATAAGGAACTCTCTATAAGGTAAAGATGCCTATTATGAGATAGGCGCCAAATATGAGATACCAAGGTTTTGGCCAAACTATTAACGGCAACTATTTGGCTCTAGTGTTTTCCGAAGCGTCCTGGCAATAGCTCCAAACGTGTGTCAGTGCACGCTGGCCAGAGGTGCTGTTAGATCGTGGGTGTGCAGATTTTCACAAAAGCACAAAACAAATTTTTTGACATTAAATGTTTACGAGGTATGTAACAACGTTATTATTACGCTAAATTCTTTTAATTTACATTCATTGTATCAATTATACGGTCAATTTCACGATATTAGTGCAGTACTTTTGTTTTCTTTGTCAGCAAAAAAAGTAGGCAGCCGTTTTGTAAAATTTGAATGTGTTCCCAATATGAGACACATGAGGGTTCCTAATATGAGATATCTCATTTCATATATGAAATGTTAGATGGCCCCAATTAAAAGGAAAACCTGGCACCACAGTGCCATGATACGAGCCGTAGATGCAGTACGGAGCAATCAAACAGGTTACTTAAAGGCATCAAAACAATTCGGTGTTCCTAAGGATACCCCAGAAAAGGCCGGATGGCCAAGAGGTCACGGTGACAGCCTACCGCTCTGGGGGACTCGGGATCGAATCTGGACGGGTCAAGACTGTCCAGAATCTGGGGTACCCCTAGTATCTCATAATAGGAGACCATTTACCTAAGACGTGATTTCGGACTTTTTTCATTTTATCTAATATAACTAAAAATGTATTATGCTTAGGACTAAATAGCAATTATATTGTTAAATATATTAAATTCCCTATTCAAAATTGTAATTTGTAAAGCTCCAAGTGTAATAGTTATTTTTTTATAGTCAAAAATAAAAATGGTATCTCATATTCGGCATCCTTACCTTACCTTTATCGTATTGTTCGAGAGTAATGTGGCCTGTTTTATTGATATCCATTTGGTTAAAAAACGAAACGATGTTTTTCTCAGTGAATAAAACAGGAATTAGACTTTTATCTTCTCTTCCCAAAATGAGTTTATGAACAAAATCCGCTAAAAATATCTGTGGATTTTCTGAAAAATAGAAATATATTTAAGGATTTTCATTTGATTTAATTTCACAGTCGAGTTCTTACCCGGTTGGTATATGATTAACTGAGATAAAAACATTTCAAATAACTTTTCAATTCTATGCTTTTTCAAATATTTTTCAATAACGGTTTTTCGATCAGATTCCATTTTATTTTTATTTTTTTTTCGAATTCGACTAGCAGTTCGTCGAAATATAAATACATGCGCGATAATGATATTCCATTGGATATTTCTCGAATCATCTTTTAATAAAGGATTAATTACTGTATATTTATTTGATTATGAATAATTATTATTCCTTGAAGGAAAAAATATAAATTAGAAAAATATTTTATATAGATTCTATCAATAAATTTTTTAAAAATCTCTTGGCATATAACGTGATTCAGCAATTATGTATAATACATTTTTTCCTTTTTTTGCTATTAGATAATTCTGAATTTAACAAAAATTAAATTTATTAAATGACATCTAAGCAAGAACTTAGCAAATTAGAAACAAATGACAATTAGCTCACTATAGTCAGATGTCATGACTAGACAGCGGACATCTAGGCCCTTAAAAGTGGCGTTTTAAGCGCTTAAAACAAGCTCTTAAATTCCGTCGTTTAGGCTTTATAAACAAAAAATAGGCGGTCAAAATTTGCACAATGAATAATTCACCTACTTATCAGGACGATGAATTATTTAACATATGTATTCCAAACAAAAATGCACGTATTCAGAATGATGCAAACACAAAAGTAGACAAACAATTATCTTTACATTTTTTATTCGATCTGTTTCCTATAGTTAGCTTCATAATATATTACAAGCACTTTTTCCAAATTTTCAATAGAAAAGTTGCAACATTTGTCACTGAGAATTAATTCATACGCAGAGAAAAAGCGTTCCACATCTGAAGATAATGGACAGTATTTCAACCTTGAAAGAAGAGGAACTGGGAATTCATTTTTGCTCTTCTTTCCTGCCAAAATATCAGCCACAACAAACAAGCACTTTAATCTAAGTCTCTTTTGAAGCACTCTTTCTTCACTTTTTTTGCAGCACTGCCTGGTGCATCACAAAGTTTCTGGTTTGATCTGTTGAGGCGATCAATTTGTTCATATATAGGTTTCCCACTACTTTCAACAGCAGTAATAGTATCTGCAATGAATGTGAAATAACACTTAATGTACACCAACTTGTTCTGAACATGTCATTCAAAATTTTCTTGGCTTTAGTTACACAAACTGCATTGTCCGCTAAAGTGGCCAGAAGTTTTTTGATATCGAAGAAATGTTCACTGTAGTAGTTAGTACAAAATCTTAGCGATGTATATGCTAAGGGAAAAATAGACATTTGCCTAAAATCCGCTGTCTAAAAATGACAAAGCATCTCTAACGTTATATTTATTAAATAAAAGCATTTATTTTAAAATATTTCGTATAGTTTTAATTTTATTACTATAAAATTGCGTCAGAGGGTGTAATTTATTTCCGTTATTATTGCATTCTAACTTTTTCTGCTTGGGATATGCATTAAATATAAGTAATCAATAATAATAAAAAAATGAATTTGTCTGATTGCATTTTCAGAAGAAAAATGAAACTTAAGCAGTTTAATTTAAGAATTAAAGTAAACCTTTGCGGAAAATGAAACGAAAAATTAGTAAAAACTTTTTAAAAATATGAAAACAAACTAAACTTTGTGTTTTAGGCAAAAATAGGCATCAACGTCAAAATAAGTATTTTTAGGCGTTATAAAATACCACTGTTTCGGTCAAATGTTCATGAAGTGTTCATACAAAATCTTAGCCATGTATATGCAAAGGGAAAAAATAGGAATTTGCCTAAAATCCACTGTCTAGTCATGACCATACTACTACATTACTCATCACTCATCCGCCAGGAATCATTCAATTAACCATAACTCGCTTATGGCCTATAGAATGAAACGGATGAGATGATTCAATCATCACATCAAACATTACCTTTATGCCACTTAAAATTTGAAATCTCATCCATTCTTATCAATGGGTATTACTTTCTGGACAACTCTCATATTTTCTTTACTTATGTACAGTATGGTTTATTGTTATTTTTGTTGTGTAAATTAAAAAATTACATAAAGTAAAATTTGTATGCTTATTTTTGTAAATTTTAATTATAGTTGTTGACTCGGACTTGAACCCAAGTTCCCACAGTGCTGGGTCAGTATCTTTACTGCCGCCAGTTATCTAGCTGTCTTTCTAATTATATTTACATATGCAAATTTTTTTCTAGACCTTTAAAGAAAGCACTGCAAGAGCTTAGCACCTTGGCCAAGAAGTCTAGTTTGAAATACCTATTGTTAACTAAAAATATATAAATTAGCTC